AAAATGCCAGTTTCTTGCTGCCAAGCAAGTAATTCTCTGGTACAGTTGAGATAAAGAATGCTTAGACTATATTTTGGGTTTAAAATTTGGTTAAAAAATATTTATTAGGTAAGCAACTAGGTGAACATACTTTTTTCGGTTCATAGATGCTTGCATATTCTTTTTGCCTGAAATTCTGCCGAATATCGATATAAGCTTATTCGCAGACAGAAAAAAACAGGAAGAAATCAAACAGCTTTTTGGTTGCGTTACGAAAAAATGTTTTTTGGCTATTTTCGTTTTATAATATACTTTTCTGGGTTAATACTCATGAGTACCCCTATCTTGAGTATAAACGAGTACCCCTGGGCCTTGTAGCTTCATCGTGATGTTCATATCTCTTTGAATTCGGTTACAATTGTGTTTTTCATAGAATTTTCTTTCCGGCACTACTATACTTTCATTGCTGACCTTAAAGATATCAAAATACTTTTTCTCTCAAGTCCATTTTTTATACGCCAACAGGAATGCAGCAAGTTATAAGCATTATAGTTTATGGAAAAAATCAAATAAATGCCTCGTGTCACGTTTGTGTTGTACTCTAGTATATGCTTTATTTTCTTCTTAGCTGCTAAAATTATTTTCTCTTTAAGGTGCCGCCTTTGCTAAGCCCATTTAAAATCTTGAAAGTTACTTCCCGCATTCCAATATGAATAGCTCTTCCATGTTGATTATATTGTTTCAAAACAGATGATGTAGGCTTGGGGTTTTAGCCCCCTTGATGAAGTTCTTAGGGCAGATTTTCGGACTAAAACCCTCTCCAATTAAACGTATTTTTTGATCTAGCATAGGAGTCTCCAACGTTTCAGACCATTGCCTCCTTCCCCACAGGCATGTACAAAAATACATTATCAGTAACTAAGTAGATGTGCAATTTAAGATTGAACCCTTTTCCCCTCTCACAAGCCCCCAAGGCTCTATAACAGCCAATTTGGAGACCCCTGGTCTAATGTGATTTTGACTCTGCAATTCCTTTATTTGTAAATTTATTTGAACAAACCCCGTATTCTTTATTTTCTATAGATATACTGAGTTTCGGGTTATCTAGAAAAAATGAATTCTGTTTTGTGGAGTTATTGGTGCAGTTATTAAAAATTTGCCAAGGGCCTTAAAGAAGCCTCCAACCCAATATCGTAAATTTTTGGGATCCAACCCAGAAACGCCACGCTCTTATAGAGCCATTTTATGATACTTATATGATACTTAATTTATATCTAGCTACATTAGAATTTCTCTTGAAATAGCTGATTCAAATTGTTTCTCAGTGATTTTATTACTGTAATTCCTTGAAGAAGCCCCTACCTTCGAATCAGCCTCCTTCGAATAAGCCCCCAACCCAAAATATTTTGTGAAATGAGCCCCCGGGGGCTTATTCAAGGATATATAGTATTCATGATCTATCCCCTTTAAATATTATGGATTGGAAATCATTATATTTTATGTTTCTGTGTTATTTTTAAAAAGGTTCGACTCTAAATCGCTGCTTTCAAAAGTATTTGGTTCGTATATTTATTTTACATTTGATTTTATTTCAGGTCTTTTAAGTTCATGAATTCCATGACGATGCGGAGATCAGGAAAAATATAAGGTACCAATAACTTATAATTAATATAAGGTACCAATAAAAATGTAATGTATTTTTTATCGACAGTCTTCTTGAATTCTGGCTATTTTCACGAATAAAGTTTTGTTTTCCTAGAAAGGAAGTCAAAAATAATGAAATGAAATTGTTGTAATGACTTTAAGGCTGCTTAAGTGATATCTGACTTAGTAAAGAGCATACTTGTAGAGATAATATTCCTTCCCTCGTGTTCTGTTATTTTTAAATACACTGAAAACGAAGGAGATATTAATTGATTGCAATCCCCTAGACTTCACACACAATTGACGCTCAGAATTATCAAAATTTCTATATTCGAGAAACGCAATTATCACCAGTTTGGGTGTATTTTTGTGCATAATAGATAAAATTCAAAACAAAAAATATGACATGCTAGTCCACAATTTTCCTTGAAGCCCCCCATTTCCAAAAATTAGTCCAAGTGAATACAAAAACGATTTCGTTCCTGCTTTGCTGAAGGATAAGAGAAGAGACCCTGTCAAGTTTGATTTTGACTGAAGTCTGCAATTTGAAGCAGTTGTGACCTAGAATTTTTTCCGCTTAAGAATTTTTCTGCATAATATTTAAAGATGTTGTCCTGCAAACTTTAGAAATTAATTTATTATGCATTCGAAAGCCGGTGCTCTTTCTTGTGAAAAAAACACTAAACAAATCAGAAAAACACAAAACACTAAAAGCACTAAACATTGAAGTTTTCTGATGTGCAAAATATCATTAACAGTATTCTTTTATGACTCAAGTTTTCCACTATTAAAAATTTTAATTGAAGATCTCCATTGCCACTTCGTGTCCTACTTTCATTTAGTCTGATTTGGTTCTCGTTAGAGGCATTACCTAATTTGTAACAAACAGCTTTTCGGTCTCTCTCGTATCTCTTTTAGTGGAAAAGCTCTGTCTGTCCTTCCTGAACGTCCGAGGGAGCAAGTAACAAAAATTTCTACCCTCGCCCATATAGATAATTTCTGACATTTGTATGGTTTTTACCAAATCTGGGACATGAATTATTGAAACTTTTGAAAAAATAAATCAGAAGGACGAAAAAACGGGGCCACTCAACAGGCCAGCATTGGTTTTGATCCGAGTAAGAGGTTTATCAGCATAATAAAAAAATTGCGGAGTATGTTCAAAAGGATTTTAGACTTCTTGTATACCAAATTTATTCGTGGTGGGCATTAAAATAATAGGGTTAAATATCTGTTTGATGTTCATAGATATGCAAGTTTGATTGAAGAATGTCTGAGAAAGCGGGATAGTTTTTTATAGTCACGAGCATGGGTGAGTGTCATGTTTGTGTCGTCCATAATACTCGCTGGGGCTGAAAAGCAGCCCCCAATTGGAAGCATTCATAGATATGCCTGAGCAGCCTGTGCAAATGAAAATGGAAAATGCCCCAACAGTTTCGGGGTTTCGGTGATTCAATTATAAAATAAGATTATAAACATTTGCGAGCCCTTATTGCAGAAGATTTTGCCTTTTGTTTTGCAGTCAGTTTTTCCTGAACGTTCTCTTTTCAATGTTAAACAATACCTTTGAATTTCAACAAAAGGAGTTCACACCAACTAGCGTGGTTCGATTTTCTGAACAAATTGCGTTGGGTTGTAAACATCTGACTTTGCGAGTGGATTTTTACGGAATTTCGATATCTTTTGAAGTAAAGGTATGAATTTATTCTTCTTAAATGATACCCTTCTGTGAAACCCTTTATTTGGGGTAGAAATTTTATTTGTTTAGCACCTTGCAGCCCCGATTTACCACACCCCTTGTGGAGCCACGTGTCGATCTGAAGTTTTCGTTTCCCCTACCTAGTCTCCTTCAGCGGTTTTTGTCGCTTGATATTAGGACGAAGTTCCTTCTTTGGGCAGCTTTTTTTATTATAGCAATAAAGTGTAACTACTTATTCAGTTTGCCGTCGGATTACGCTCTCGAGCGACTCTACCGTTTTGTAAATATCAACCTAAAATTGCAGCATTGTAACGAGAGGGCCCACAAAAAAGATAAAATGCATTTAAGTCAAAGTACCCACTGGTATTTAAGGATCAATATATTAAAAATATGTTTAATTTTTCTTTGTCAGTTATGGAAGACAGAATGGCCGCTCGCATTTCAGATTTACGAAGGGCGTCCTATCCTTTAACCCTCGAGCAGTTGGAGTGAAACGAAGCATTTTGTGAACTTGTGAACTTTATACATATCTTCAAGAACTGAGGACATACAGTTTCAATGTAATTTAATGTATTCATTTTTATTTAATTCAATAATTCAGTATTCTACAACCCCGAATGTTCCCTTAGAATATTCATCGCCGTTTATTTTGTAAACTTGATAATTCCTGTTGCATTAAGCGAGATGCTTTAAATCGGTTTGTTTTTATATTCCCTTCTTAAAACTGTCCACGAGCACGCAAATCTTTGCTGCCCTCAGCCGCATTTGACAAGTATTTCAGCTACATTTTGCTAGTTATAAAAGTTGCGAAACGTTTCGATCTTCTTGTTCACTGGACACCGCCGTTTCCCCTTGAATTTCTCCAGATTTTTTTTTGTCATATTCCTTTGAATTTCCCCCCGAATTTCTATTGTATTTCGCTAAAATTTCTTTTGAATTTCCCCCCGTTATCTATTGTATTTCGTCTTAATTTCTTTTGAATTGCCCCCTGATTTTCCATTGTATTTCGCCTAAATTTCTTTTGAATTTCCCCCCGTTTTCCTTTGTATTTCGCCTAAATTTCTTTTGAATTTCCCCCCGTTTTCCTTTGTATTTCGCCTAAATTTCTTTGAATTTCCCCCCGTTATCTATTGTATTTCGTCTTAATTTCTTTTGAATTGCCCCCTGATTTTCCATTGTATTTCGCCCAAATTTCTTTTGAATTTCCCCCCGTTTTCCTTTGTTTTTCGCCTAAATTTCTTTTGAATTTCCCCCCGTTATCTATTGTATCTCGTCTTGATTTCTTTTGAATTGCCCCCTGATTTTCCATTGTATTTCGCCTAAATTTCTTTTGAATTTCCCCCCGTTTTCTATTGTATTTCGCCAAAATTCCTTTTGAATTTCCCCCGTTTTCTATTGTATTTCGCCTTAAATTCTTTTGAATTTCCCCCCGTTTTCCATTGTAATTTGTCTTAGATTCTATTGAATTTACCCCCGACTTTGTAAAATTTCTTTTATATCAATGACAAGGTTGTATTGTATTTTCATCTTGTTTCTTTTGTACTCTACTGGGAACTTAGTCGATATTTCTATTGAAGTCTCCAATAATTACAATAGAAATTCAAAAGACATTCCCCCGGATTTCTATTGAAATCTCTATTCAAATTGGAATCAGAATTTCAGGGATTCCATGAGCAAAGTCCCCCGGCTTTTCATTGTCTTCAGGCAAGAAAGTTGGCCGCGACCAGTGGCTGAACAAAAGGCGGCTTGGAGCCGCAAATGATTGACAGCTCATTGTCTTTAACCAATCAGATTGCTCCATTTCAGCCCTTTTGGTGGCTGCGGGCAGGAGCCGTCACCTACAAATATACCAATTTTGAGCTAGCCCTTGGCCGCGGAGGGCCACCATTGTTTATTAACCAATCAGATTACGCTATTTTGGCCCCGCTCTATTGTATTTTCAACCAATCAGAACTCGCTATTTCAATTATTCTATTGTTAGTTGACCAATCAGAGCATGCTATTTCTCTATTGTTTTTCTTTTGTTTAGTAGCCAATCAAGTGCCTCTATTTTGCCCGCATGGCCTCGTTTTCATTTTACAAAAAGACGGGGGTTCAGTAGCCTCGTTTGCAGCAGTAGAAAGACGGGGGTTGAAAACAATTCAGTTTGATTTTCTCTACTTCATTCAAGCGATCTTACTCTACGTACAATTTAATGTCTACTCTACGTGCTGAGGAGACTGTTTTCAGTAGGGATTTTTCTTAGCATGGTGTTTTAAGCAAAGGGTTAACAAGAGGAAAAAGAAGTTCCCCTTGTTAACCCTCTGATTAAAACACCGTGCTAAGAAAACCCTATCAATGTTGAGTTAGGGGTTATGTAAACATGGCGTTTTAAGCAAAGGGTTAACAAGAAGGACAAGGCCCTCTTGGTAACTCCCCGATTAAAACGCCGTGCCATAACCCCTAACGCAACACGGAAAACAGTCTCCTAAGCATACTACAAACTAAATACAAAAAATTAAACTACAATTACAAACAAATCTAAGTAGAAACGAAAGGGCTTATCCTAAAAACAGACGAGAACAGGCGCCTTGCTCACATCCATTTAGAAGATAAGCCCAAACCTAGTTTACAAATAAATAGACGGAATAACTAAGTTACTTTCTCGCAAAACCGGGTTTCACTCAACGGGTAAAGTATATTGATAACGTCTTAGAGAACGCTACTTACTTATTGAGGTGCCTATCAAACAATCTATTGACAGAGGCCCTAGGCAAATAAAGGGAAGGGGTGCATGGGTTAACAAGGGGTACAAAATAAGGATAGAAAAGGTAAAAAAAGGAGGGTTCCGTCGGTTAACAAGGGGGTATATAATAAGTAAAACTGAAATTAATAATCATGTCAAACTGTCTTAAATTCGATAAAATCAAAGATGAACTAATGAGCCTTATCGAAAACTGTTAAAACGTCTTGTGGGGGGGGGGGGGGGGGGTGGTTGGTTTAATGGAGGACATTATTGGGTACACAAGCAAGGTAAAGTCTTTTATGAGGATCGTAAATTTCGAATAAAAAATTCCTTTCTACAGAACAAACCTGTCGATCCTTGTTTCCATATTCTTGTAAAGGGGATCTCAACTCCTATCGATAAATTTCAGTCTTGCGAGAAAATACCGGCAAATAACTACTTGTATTCTATCATAATAATATGCAATTTCAAGTCCAATTTCTATAAATTGTTCATAAATCTTCATAATCTCTTTGACTTCAAATTCGTCTTTAGCACACGTGGTTCACTCTTCCAATGTCGATTGCCTGAAAGAAGGATTGAAATACCAGCAATATCGAAGCAAATGATCCACCAAGAAAACAATTCAGTGTGACAAAATCTACGCAAAGTTTCTCATCAACGGTCCTTTATTTTGTCAAAAAAACTTTCTAAAGTTGACTTGTTTACTTCAAGAATGATCGAGCGATGAAAGAAATCAAGCTTAACACAATACAGGTTGCCCTAAAACTGCAGTGAAAGAAAACGCATGGAATCTCGTGTCACTTTGCTTCTTTAAGGCTCAAGAGACCCTTGGTCTCCAGGCAAGTCAAATTCTACCCTCGTGCTTTGAGATGCCAGGAAAACTAGAAGTTTGACTTCATGTCGCGAGTTTTTGGTGTTTTGGTTTGCTGGGAAACTTAAAATGCGAAGTGTTTTGGTGATATTCTTTTAAAAAGATAGTGAACAGATAATTTGCAAAGATGTGGCCTAATCACAGAAAAAAACTTTGTGGCCTAACGCAAGAGTCTTATTGTTTACTCAGAGACAACATTCACAGGCATGCTTTGGTACCATTGGGGACCCAGTAACAATCTAGGCATCCTCGGGCATGCCTTTCCAGAGCTTCACGTGCGTGGGTAATTCTCTTGGGAATTTTCTAGACTTCACGATCTTTGCAGTCTTATGAGAAACACAGCAGTAAAAAATCAAAGTAAAAACGTTTAAAAATATCGTTTCCCTATGTTAAATTAAAAATACAAGCGTAAAAATATAGTTTTCTTTAAAAGCATAAATAGCTCTTATATGTTACAATCTGTTATGAAATATTTTGTACCTGAATTCTAAATGAAATGCTATCAATTCTATGGTATTCTTGTTCTTCATTTTGCATTTTTGTGAATTCGAAAATGTTGTAGAATGCCCACAAGATTGCATTGTCGAAAGTTAAAGTAACATAAACCATTTTCAGTTTTTTCATTCTAGTTTTCGAGTTAGTTGCTGAATTTCTTTCTGTTAAAAAATTAACCCGTGTGTTTTCTTGCAGAAAATCGACCTTTGCTTTCACTACCAAAAAGAGGCAGGGCATGCATCTTCCCAATCACGAATCACTCGATCACCCAATCAACCAACCACTCAATCAACACCAACCAACATCGTCAAACAACCAACAGCAACAAAGGGCAATCTGCAAGCCTTGATCTTTTTAGCAGAAAGGCAGAGGCTAATAAACTGCAAGATGTTGACTACTTAAAATTTTTTGTCTTGTCTATGGAAAATGCCTGTATTAAATCTGGTACACTTTAGAAATCTACTTCAAAATATCCAGAGTTTTTTATTTTTTCTTTTGAAAATAAACAAAACTTTTTTTAAAAAATAATTTTCGTGCCTAAGAAATCTCAGTGTTTGTATAATTTCTTTGAAACATGAACAGATAAAAAGATTTTCTGAAAAATTACAATCGATAAAAACTCAAAACTTTGAAATATTCGTTTCAGTATAATGCCACAAATCTTGCTACGTTAACGAACTTTTCCAAAATCAATGTGTGAAAATTTTTAAAAAAGCAGATTTTGGGAGCTTAGACCTAACCCAATTTGCTTCATTGATACGAGAATATAACACATAAAAATTCAGATATGTTTGGGTTGGATCCAGTTTTCTAAATATGTGAATAAGTCAGAGGTTAGAGAATACTGGCTGACTTGTGTCTTCTCCACACCTTACTAGAATGTCGGCGCAATTTCTAAGGAAATACCGTCCAATATTATTGGATTGTATGATTCAATACGAAAATTCATATCATCGAATGAAAGACCAGGCAAATATTCGTAAACTAAAACAACTTATTGGCTGAATTATCATACACGAATTTATCCTACAGCACTTGCCTAGAATGTACCTCGTTGATGACTCAAATTAAGTTAAACATCATATTTCAAAATACCTCATAACATTTCAATGATCATTATAATACAAAATATGAAATTTGATAAACATGCAAAATGAAATGTGCTCACCGTAGATTTAGTGCCAAATTTGAGATTCAAGTGTTGTTACTGCAATCCAGTTTTGAGGCTAGAAGAAAAAATGGTTTTTGAATTGGACAGTACACAAAATTGAAGTTCATAGTGAGATAATGTCACAATCTATATAAAATGGCATGATAACTTTACTTATACATCGTTCTGTTTTCAGTTAACATTTGATATACATTGAAGAAAAGCGTTAGGTTAGTTGGTCAGTTAAAGAAAATAATAATTTCAATTAACTGTAAGCATCGTTTGAGAATAGGCCTGAAGTAGTATGAAACAAAATGAATTTGAAGCTTCAATTGATCATTTTCTGAATTCAAAAAGAAGAAACAATTCCTCACTAAATTATTAGGAGCTGACAGAATATGCAAAAGGGCACTTATGGAACTCACCAAATATGACAGACGAGGATATAACCGTTTGCAATAAAAGGCTAATATTTTCTATGAGTAATTTAAAGAATCTAATCAATATTTTACAGGTATATATCTTTGCAGCCTTTGGATCAGTAGATAAAATTATCGTTCACAATTCTGGTGATATTATAAACAAATAAATATGATTTCCAAAGTAGGTTATCCAAAACACGATGCAATTTTTTTATGACATAAACTTCAAAATAGGGGATACAGATTTTTAAAAGAATCATTTAATCTAACGTATGAAACTGACAAAAAATTTACTCACAAAATTCAAATGCTTGCATTTCATCGTGTATCTTTTCTACAAGAGATGCTAAAATAGACTAAATAAAGTTAAATCTAAAAAAGTAATAAAAAGAAAACATCAAGCCCAAACACTGCAGATAGTAAAATACACTATCCAACCTGAAAATAAAAAAAATAAAATATTAAACATTTAGAACGAATAAAAGCTTAAAAATAAACAATTTTCAGATATTATGAAATAATAGACAAAGGCATCAAACTTCTGATGATCAAACATGGATAAAGAAATATTTAGCTTTCTTTAAAAGGAATTATCTTAAAGACCTTATACATTTACATGATAGCAAAGTAACTAGAAAAAAATTTACAAGAAAATGCGTGTTCTTCTGTTTTATCTTGTTACAATTGCAGTTTGTTTCTTGAATAACGTGTTACACAGTTCTAAGGATAATAGGGAAGAAACAACATTGTAAATGAATCAGCGGATGACATTGACTAAAGCTCACCTTTCTGTCGTCTGAAATTGGTCATCAATATTTCTTGCAAGGTGCCAGTGGTTTAAGTTCAACTGGAATTCAAAGAAAAATACATACGATTTCTTCAAACATAGGAAAAAGCATATGAAAAAAGTATAAATCTAATTTCATTGTTTTAATATTAGAAATATGATTTAGTTACTAGGTAATTCATTAATCTATTTAAACTTTTTTATATCAAGGTTGGTTTAAAAAAATGCCTTGCAAAATAACTTATCTAAAAATAAATACGCCTACACCGATCATCATTCTTAATTTATATGCTTATTTGTATTCATACATAATCCAAAACTTACAGTTTATGCATTATATGCATAACAAATTCAATCAGAAAAAAAATGAAAGTATAAAAAGAAAAATAAGACTCACTTGATAATGAAGTTACAAGTAATCTTCTTCAGTAACAACCTAGATATTCTACAACCTAACAAATCTTTTAGAAAAAAATTAGCTTAGAAGTGAAAAATAATTCTTTTGGAGAAAGAATTCCTTCAAAAAACTTCAAAATACCAAACCTAAAAAATAAAAATAAGACTATCAGTTATACAGAAAATGGACAGACGAAACGAGATTCACGAGGAAAAGCACCTAGCAATAATTTTTCCAGAACTCACATAGAAAATTTTGATGCATGATCGATGTTCCTTTGTCACAAATTTATAAGTTTTGAGCCCCACCTAAAAATATATTTGAATTTTTAGAAGGTTTATCAGACACAAAGGCAAGGTAAGAAAAACTATCTTGATAAGAAAACTTTGGATATAAATCATTTTAAATTGTACTAAAATTTGAAAAATTAAATCAAAAGCTGCTATTATAGCTGTCAGAAAAAAATGAAATTCGTCTATGTTGATTAGATTAATTTTCCAAATAAAAATACCAAAGTTCACCGAATAAAACAGAAATCATTCTTTTACATCAAAATTATTTGGAGAATCTTGCTTTAATGTTTTACGAAATACATTACCCTTGCAATATCATTTTGTAATTTTCTATTCTAGGTAAGGCAGGGTTAAACTGCTTACATTCGTGAGTTCGAGTTACTAAGACGGGCTAGCTCGTTTTGCTAGAATAATAACTCACCCGTCAATAAGTGTAGGGATGTTGTGCTCTCTTTGATCGGTTTATCTTGTGCAACTGCAAAGAAATATGAAAGAAAAAAAGTAATTTTAAGGAAACTCGAAAAATTTATACTCATTCTAAATAAGACGTTCTTTGATATAAAATATAATTAACAGAAAATGTAAAATAAAAGCATGATGTCTTCACAAAATTGAGCAATAACTCTTCTAGATGCAATAACAGACTTCATGTTTTAGTTGATAAAGAATTAGCGTCGTCAGAACGAAAATAAAGCATAACATTGGAAATTAAGGACAACTTGGACTATAATTAATACTATACATTTGCTGACAAACATAGACGGATCATGAAATGTTTAGGTTTCGTAAGAAATAAGTATTTAAAGAATTTATACATTTTTTACAATACAGCTGACATTTCTTTTTACAGGAACATGTATGTTTTATTTTATTTTGTTCTTTTGTTGCTTTGTTGTTTGTTTGTTTGTTTGTTTGTTTGTTTCATAAGAAACTCTTTATCTAGTTCGTTGGTAACAGGGATGAAGAAGAAGACCAATAACAAACAATGTCGATTGTATCACCGGAAGCTATCAGAACTTACCGCTCTATATTTCGCCTGAGGCTAGTCATCAGTGTTCCACATGAGGTGTAAGTGTGTAACATTCAACTGCAAAGTTCAAAGAAAAAATTTCTTAGATCTCTAAGAAATTAGAAAAAGGGTTGGAAAATTAATGACAAGAGCATTTGAAAAATTATCTGGCTACTAGATAATTCGTCGATCCACTTAAAAAGGTTAATTTCGTGGCTGATTTGAAAACAAAATATGAATATACTCTTATACTGAAAACTATGCTTGATGTATATGCATGTTTGCATTCATCGATAATCCAAAGCTTACATAACGCATTTAATCAGAAAATGTATGAAAACATAAGAAGGAAAACCAGACTTACTAGATTGTCAAGTTAAAAGTGACGTTCTTCAGTAGCAACTGGGGCATTCCACAATCTGTTTGAAAGCAAAAAAATTATTGATTCTGAAAACTTGAGACACTGAAAAAAATTTCCAAATAAAATCTTTCCAAAAATCTTTGAGATGAAAACGCAAACCCTGAAAAAAGAAAGAAGACTATCAGTTATGGAGAAAAAGACAATCAAAGCAACGAGCATTTGGAAAAAAATCAGCAAGACGGTTATTAGAACTTACCTTTAAAACTGGCTCACTTTGTGGAAGTTCCGTTGTCAAAACCTTTCAATCTTTAAACCATTCCTATATATTTTAAGCAAATTTATTCTGACCAAATATATTTTGAGCAGATTTATCAGATGGACTAAAAATCATTTTAAATTGTTTTGTTATGTCAAAAATTCAAGTAAACAATACACCATAGTTATAAGAAACAAATTGATTGTGCCGACTAGATTCAATTCAAAATATCATAACAAAGGTTCACAGACTTCATGCATTTACATCAAAATAACTTGATGAATTTTTCTTTGCTCTAAGGATGAAAAACGATCTTTACAAAACCTAGCATCTTCACGATATAATTTCATATTTTTCTTTCTGGGTAGCTGAAAAATCAAGCTGTTCCAAGTGATGATTTCAAAAAACACAGAATGGGCTGGCTTGGATATAATAGAGTTATAACTTACCAACAAACCAGTGAAACAACCATGAGCTCTATCCGGATTTTTTAGTTTGTGCAACTACGAAGGAATTGGAAATGATCTTAAGGCATTTTTGTCTGAAAACTTGTGGACATTTAAGGTATAACAAAATTACTTCAGCTTTGGTCGATTGAGAAAATCATAGTTTAACTGTCATAAATTTCGTGTTTTCTTCATTGGCTTCAAAAAACCAATTTTTAGATTGAATGATTTTATAGGGCAGCTGAAGAAAAGTAGAATAAAACGTTGAGAAACTCACCAGATTTTCAGTCTTGAATTCTAAGAACCATTCCTTTTAGAGGTGGAAAGCTAAAAATGAATTAGTTAGAAAAACAAGACTTCAAATACTTAGACTGATAGAAAAACTTGAAAAAGCTACTAAAACTCCACGAGGCAAAAATATGGTGATGTCAAGAACCAAGCCTAGAAAAGAAAAGAACCAAGCCTTAAAATTGGTAGTTTGGTAGATAACAAATAATCCAAAAGTGTGCATTTATACAAGCTATACAAAAGTGTGCAAATTCTTAAGTATACAAGCTAGTAACCAGCATAGGATGGCTAACGAGTAGTTGTAAAGTTTGAAATACTTGTCTCAAAAAATTCTAAACTCCAGAAAGGAAACAAATCTAAAGACTTGAAAGGAAATGAATTTTTTTAGACATCGTTTCTTCTAACACAAAATCTAAAAAATGTTTCAAGTTGAAATTTGATATGGTAGGTTGAGTTACGTTGAGATTTACTATAAAAAAATACCTTTATTATAATGAGCAGTATAATGCTAAGATACATTGCAATATTGGTTGGTAAGGGGTGAAAATTTCACGCAAATATTGAAAAAGCCTCCACGGAATCGTATAGATGTAAACAGTGTAAGAAACATTGGAGGTTCGATTAATACATTATACCTTTTGCGACAATTTTCACTCGCTGCAAGGAATTTTCTCTCCCTTTATGCAACCCAATGCTAGGGCACTGTCATAGCAGTGAAAAAAGATCGTTCAATAGAATTTGCAGTCATTATTATCTTTCTAATTTCTTAAGTCAAATCGCTTTGTAGAAAATAGAATATAGAAGCTGTAGTTTTTTATGTAATAAAGCATAACGGAGCATTTTTATTCTTTCAAAGCCAAACGTTTTGTATACAAAAAGGCTCAACTAAACTGCTTAATAGATATTTGAAAACTTATAAATATTTACCTATAAAAAGATGTTTTTGATGGCTGCATTATCAGGTTTTTTTTAGAAGAATGTAACTTTTTAAAGAATAAACAATCAAATATTGTTTTAGTTTTATGGAAATGCAATAACAATAAATATGAAAATTGTTTTCTCCTGCCAATTCAATACATACAAAAATATTTTGAGAAATTGTTTTTGGACAGCATTAGAATTTGATTCGGATTTTTTTTATCTCTTGGATCACTAGATTGCTTTCCACCACCACCAACACCCACCATCATCACCCACCACCATCATCCGCCATTACCACACGCCATTACCACCCGCCACCACCACACACCACAATAAATACCTCTTATCACCATCAGCAAACAACCTGACAAACATACATTCGCCAAACCCCAACAACGGAAACCAAAACACAATACCAAAGGATCATATCAATATCTGAAAACAAAACTAGTGAATCCAAGAGCATTTTTAAATAAGCATTTTTTAACAGAGCAGTTATTAAAATATAGTATTCGAAAGATATAAATCGATTTTTCAAAGACTGTGTTTTGGTTTGTGAAATAAAAACACAGTTTTCTGTAGTTTATAGTTTTTAGTTTTAATTCATTAAGAATATAAAGCCTCGAGTAATGAATGAAATAATTATTTTCAGACTCAAAGAGATATGCCATGCAGTCGTTTTCCCCTCTTTTCATTTTTATGAAAAAATTTGCACTGATAAATAAAACTGGTGCTAATATTTACAAATTCTCTAAATTTCTTTAAAACATTTCTTTAGAAAGCCTTCAAATTTTTTCAAACTTTTGAATATTTTTTCTGATTTGAGAAACTATCAGTTGGAAACTAACTGCCAGTTGGAAAATTCAGATAACACGTTTGCTGAAAAAATATGTTGCAAAAGTGAATAGAACTCTTCAAATACTTTTTTTAAAAAAACCTTACTATTGAAATTGTTTTGCCGAAATGTTCTAGCTCTGTAAATAAAAGTTTTGCCACACCTAAAAAGCTACAATTTTCTTAATTATCATTATCATTTTTTGCGCTCTTATATTGTTTTGTTGTTAATACGTAAATATGTAAATACGTTAATAAGTTTTTACGAGTATTAATGACATGAATTTCTCTCAAAAAATGGACAAAAGTTTTCCCTTTAAAACAATACTTTTGAGAAAAATCTTGGTGAACATTTTAAATTCCTTTATATTCATCTATCATGTATTAATTCATAGGTTGATAAATTGATCACTTTGGATTAATAAAACTTTTAATAAAACGAAAACTAATTTCCAGGCAGTTGAATGAAGTTGAACAATGATATCTTCTTCTTGGTTGAATTTCGTTAAACGAATGTTATTAAATCGATCCAAATCTTCAAAGCATAATTGATAATAAATTTTTTGAAATATGTGATAAGAATGTAAATACCTGCTTTATATTCAAGGCCAAGAAGCTTGTGAATTTCACTGCAGCTTTGTCAACTGTTGTTTGCCATTATCGATATCTGAAAGAATGGCAAAAGCATGAATATTTTGTTCAAGATAAGGTTAAAATATCTAAGAACAAATTTAATTTGAATTGAGATAAAGTTTGAATAAAATCTCGGTTTCTAATAAGCTTGGGTGTTTGCCAAAATCCACAAATTTGGACAAATTAATAGTATAAAGAAATGCGCGATTAGGAAAATGTAGAAAATAAGGTTACACCTTTAACTAGAATCTCATATTTAATTGCATTTAGAGAAATAGGAACACGTGCTATTTAGGCCCACAAAAACTGGCCTATCTGTTTCAAAAGTTGTAGATATTTAGACATTTTCAGAGCTCATAAATTTATGTCTTTGTCGCAAGAATGGAACAAAATAGTACAGTTGCTTATTGAAAGCGCTAATAGACAGCAGAATAAACTAAATACGGAATTTTACATACATGGTTTGCTTGAACCTTTAAAGCGTGGCAAGGGGGATCCATTCTCTATCGAAGCCCAAGAAGCAAAGACCGAACAACCAGAGGATCATGGTTCAAATTCCCCATAATTACACGCCTTCTTGTCCTGGCACTAGTGTCCTAGGACACTGCCGCATTAGCCTTTTGGGATGTTCGGTCTACAAAGGCAGGCAAGCGGCTACTGGAGAAAAATCTTGTGACAATCCTCCCGGGAATCTGAAAGGCATAAACAACCTCCAATGTATTAATTCAGCTGGAAATATTAAATAAGGTTTATAGGTATATGATTAACATAAATTATCGTCAAAGATGGATGTTGCGAGTTCTGTAGGTTTTTGAGTCAATTTATCATTGTTAGAGAAAAGCGAGCTAGAAAACTAAAAGCGAAAAACTTTTTGGACCACGCCCTTCAAGCACTCGCAAATGTGGGGAAACGCCCTCTTTGCAAAATTTTCCCCCATTATTTGATTCATGTTAGCTACAGTAAATAGCAAAGTATTTTATAATTGTTATTGACACAAGCATACAGTATACTACACACCCCCCCCCAATGAGTTTTACATCGCTTTTGGACAAATCTGGAGGACCATATTTTAGAAATGTGGGGGGTTCATACCCCCTATTCCCCCCTTGAGTACACCACTGCTCCAAATTTATAGGAAAAGATTAGCATAATGCCCATTTTACACAGGTCAAAACAAATATTCAAGCATATAATGGCTTTCTATAAATTTACTAAAGAAAAGAAATGGAGGAATACTTCAGCAGTACTGTTTTGCTACATAATGTAAAAGGACAAAATTTCGTGAAGGAAACTTTTGCGTGTTTGCTGTCTGAATTTCATTTGCGTGCTTGACTTTCGTTCACACTTGGCCAATTTCCATTGAACATCCTGTCTTGTGATCTGCTTCTTTGTTCTGTTTTGTTTAATCATCCTAATTAGCCTAATTGCCTTTCAGTAACGAATTTTTTGGCTTTGTAAGTAATTCAGTCGTTTAATTTAGTCGCTAGAGTTTAGATGTGATTTCAGATGTTCGGATAGCAGTTATTATTTCGAAAAGTTTGAAGCATACCAGTTTTGTCGAATTGAGCCATTTAGTCGTTGTTGAATAAGATGAAACTATAAGAACCGTCGAGCCAAGAAATCAGAACACGCTTATTGAATTTTGTATTTCCTTTTACTGCCGAATCTGCGAACACAAGCCTGTAAAACCCTCGTAAATTCAGTGGTTGTACAATAAATTGTCAAGAGAGTCCAGAGGCTTGGCCCGGGGAAAATTCATAAATATAAGTTTCTACTTTAAGATAAAGTAAATATTTTGCATTATGTTGTTACTACTGACTACTACCAAACGATGCTTTACACCAAACAAAAAGTTTTGGGGGAAGGGTATCGCACCCCCGAAATTCCTGGTAAATCCACCCCTGTTTTTAAAGAGTCACAAGCGTGAAGCTGTAACTGTTTTTCTGTAATATATTTGCAACATGTTTTTTTGAAAACCACTAGAAAAATAAAATATTAGGTGCCCAGCGTGAGAAGATTTTTCGCCATCATCCAGTTGCCTCTTATTTTTGCTTCGCAGAGGCAGTGCCTGTGACGGTCAAAGGTCGTTGTGTCGCAATGTTGCAAAAAAATTGTTGCTAATTGTGGGCATGCATTGCATAAAGACGACCGTAGCGTTCTAAGATGGAGAAAATGTTGAAACAGCCCGAGATTATTGCACCCAGTGGCCCAGTTTTGGTCGATCAAAGGATCGAGATTCAGGTTAAAAATCTTAGGCCTTTTCAACATGTCACTTTGCGAGTCGAGCTCAACTCAGAAAAGCCAGTATTTTTTGAATCATACGGGCATTACATCGCAGACAAAGATGGAGAGCTGAATTTGTCACGAGATTCTTCTTTTGGAGGTACCTACAAAGGCATTGACAACATGGGTTTATTTTGGAGCATGTTAGTAGCACCCGGTCAAAGAAAAGGGGCCAGGTTTATTACAAAAGATGTAACAAAAATGATGGAGTTTAGAGTCTTTTTGTTCGATGGACATGTTATGTCGCAGAGCAATGCAGAAAGCATGGTGCAGGCTTTGGAAAAGCTTCCCAAAGCACTAGCTAAAACAGCAATTCTACGAACTTATCTGGCAGAAAATGTGGAACGCGTGGAAATAAGTGTTGGTAGGATAAGGGGAACTTTGTTTGTTCCTAAAGGGAACAGGAAATTTCCAGGTATGACAAATTTGTTTTTTGTACGTTGTATTGTATCAATACAGTACATAATTCTATTTTATTTTATTGTGTTGTACTGCGTTGTATTGTATTCAATCGTCAGAGCTCCTCTTCTAAATTTTCAAGTTTTATCTGACTGTTTCAAGTTCATCTTTTCCTCGTTTGTGAATAGTAAGGTTATAATGACTATTGCAAGGGTGAAAAAGTTGTAAACATTCTGAAGACCTCCAGTAGAGAATCGCGAACTACTCATTGCAAAGCTTGAAGCTTACGGTTTCAGTAGATCTGCCCTAAAACTGGTTTATGACTATCTTTCTAATAGGAAGCAGCGAGTTAAGATCAACGGTTCATTCAGTTCCTGGCAAGAATCAATTAAGGGGTACCACAAGGCTCTGTTTTGGGGTCCCTCTTTTTTAATGTATTTATAAACGACCTTTTCTTTTTGATGGAAGAGACTGAAATTTGCAATTATGCTGATGAAACAACCATCTACGGGTGCGGTCATGAACTAGAACATATTGAATGTAGCCTTAAAACAGATGCTCAGAAGCTCCCTACGTGGTTTCTTGATAACAGTATGAAACTGAATCCTGAAAAATGTCATGTTTTGATTTTTGGGGAGAAAAACACTGACGTATCAGTACAGATTGGTGCAACCACAATAAGGGAATTTTTTGAAGAAAAACTAACCTAGATTTCAAGAACCACATAAACACATATTGTGAAATAGCTGGACAGAACGGGCATGCACTTGCATGTATTTCAAACTACACTACCAGCAAAAAAGTATTGCAACACAATCAAAATGGCATCCAAAAATTTTTTGCTTTTTTTGCGTTAGAAGTTTTGCAAACTTTTAACCCTACGCTGGAATATTCCCTTCAAAAATAAGCATAATCATGCTAAACCAGGAATCAAATTCTTCGAAATTTATTGAGGATTTTGAAAAACTTAGAGTTACAATATAAACATAAGATATTTTACAGTTATAAGAAAAAGTATCTGCAGTGGTAAATTCAAGATATTGACAAGATAAGGAGCGAATAGTTGTGATAAAACTTCGTGTAACTGGTCTCTCGACTCTAAAGATTTTGCAACTTTTTATAGAAAATGATAGCAAAATAGTGGAAGTTTAGGAAACAACAAATGAAGTTATTAGCTCTGACTCTTTTAGCCTCGAAATTCTCCAATACAACTTGGATAATTTTTTGGGTACATTTAGGCGTCGTGCGAGTTAATGCAGTGAAACATGTCAAAATAATGCATAACAGTTTCTTTGGTGGAATCAAAATAATGCTAGGAAAATAAGGAAGCTGTCTTTTTCATAAAAAGCAACACATCCCCCTTACAAGGCCGTTTTTACTCAAATTTACCTGAAAGTCTGCAAACTCTATGTCTTTCCTCTGCCATCACAAAGACCTAGCCTTAAAATAAGCGAATGCCAATGAAAATGATCGGATTTGAGGTCCACAAAGTTTTCTAAGGTCCAAACAAGAACTGGTGTAGAGAGTTTATTGAGAATGAAACAGAATCCCAGTGCATTTCATCAACAAATTTTGTGCATCAGTTTCAAAGCAATTTTCTGCACTTATCAGAGCCAGAAGCACCTCCACAAAATGTCTGTTTAATTAAAAGTTACTTGAATTGCTGATTTAAAATTTTGGAAAATGAAAATGGAATATTCGAATTAACGCTTCATTGAATTTGCAGTTTTATTTGCGCCTCATTGGCTGATTAAACAATAGCTTAATCAGACAACAATAAAAGTTATTGCATGGTCCGCCATTAATGGCCTTTGCAGGTGTTGCAATACTTTTGTCCTGGTAGTGTATATGGATGTTGAGAAACAGAGGGTTATGATGAACACCTTCATTGTTTCTTAGTTTATCTACTGTCCACTTATTTGGGTGTTTCATGATAGGTTCGTTAATAAGAAAATAATCAAATTCGTGAGAGAGCTTTGAGAATTGCATACAAGGATAGCTGTTCAAATTTAGAAGAATTTTTGATGAAAGCAGACACAGTGTCCATTCACCCCAAAAAATTTGCAGTTGCTTGCTACTGAAATTTTTAAAACTCAAAGGAATCTGAATCCAAGTTTCATGAATAAAATCTTTATGAAGAAAGATACTCCATACACCCTTCGTAGTAGCAGAAATATTTTGGCACCAGAACCAAACACGACAGGGTATGGTCTTGAAAATGCATGTTTTCTTGGAGCGAAGATATGGTATACACTGCCATTATCTTTAAAAGAGTCCCAGACTTTGAATTGCTTCAAAAGAGACATTAAAAACCATCAGTTTGATTGCAACTGTAGATCCTGCAAACGATTTGTTGAAAATTTAGGGTTTTTATGATAGTAATTTATATCCTCTTTGTTGATAGATTTATTCTTGAAATTTAGTTAAAAAATAGCCTTTTTAAATAGCCTAATTAAGTTTTGGTTAGTATTAATTAGCAAATAAATTAGCTATTAGAGAAGCCAACCTAAAATAAAGAAATCATTATTATTATTATTATTATTTTTATTATTGTTATTATTATTATTATCATTATTATTGGTCGTTGAGCTTTGGCGCACAGATGCCATCGTGCACGGCTCTCGTTTTATAGCTATTTAACTGCCTGGATACTTACATCAACGGATTCAAATACTACTTATTTTTTTATTGTGTCAACAAAGTATCTTTTTTTGAATATGTTTCGTTCGTTCGTGCTTTGGATATTGCTGTTTTTCGCAATTTGTTCGTTCTGCGGTAAAGAATTTCAGGCCTTAGGCCGCCATACATGGAGGTGCAAGCGACGGTTGGACAACAATGACAGTGGCCCGTCGGGATCAATTAACATTCCATTTATTGAAATAGAAAATGAAAGCGCGTCTGTCATCAACGAAAGAATTGTCAAATGCTCCTGTGGTAAAGAATGCAAGGGGATGAAAGGATTGAAAATGCATCAAAGGAGATGTCGAGTCATTAGCGGTTTCCAAAGTGACGACACTTTTGAACAGGTATCAGAGGAAACCCTAGACAATGAGATTGTACTGGCAGATATCTCTTTGAATGAATATTTTGAACTGAAACCTGACATTTGTCTTCCAAGGTCAAACGAAGAGTGTCGCTAACGAATACTTCAAATACTTTTTTACAATCAACCCCATGGACCTGTCCTCAATTGATCAATCCATACAGTCAATGAATCAAGTAATTTATAATTATTTCAGAGATACTTGCGGATTTGTAGAAGAAGTAAATGAAGAACTTGCTGCAAAATATCAAGACCATGCTACCAAAAAATTGAAAAAAGAACTACAGTTATTGAAAAGAAACGGCGCACCTATCATTGAAATTAAATACGTTTCACGGCTTTTACGACAACGACTTAACTCATCTGCTTCTACCGTAGTTAAAAACATCTCAAATCACGATAACTTCATTTCAAAGAGTTTTTGGGGACACGTCAAACGCGTTCTCCAAACAAGCTCGACTCTGCTGCCATCCTTTTCCAAAGATCAATGCTCTCAGTATTTCTTTAAAATGTTTTCTTCTCTGTTGCCATGCAAAAACTTTTCTATTCCTTCATGGATTCCATCTCTTAGGGAGCCTGACCACCCTTTTCCTTTGGAGCCTCCTTCTTATGAAAAGATCACATCAGTAATTCGGCGTATGAAATCTTCAGCCACTCCATGTCCCCGTGACAAAATTTCCATCATTGTTTTTAAACGATGTCCATATTTACGCTCTTTGATAACAAATATCATTCATAATATCTGGCTCTCTGGAAAAGTTCCTTTAGAGTGGAAAAAGGCATGCACTATCCTAATTCACAAAAAGGGTAGCAATGACGATCCAGCAAACTTCAGGCCAATCACTCTTGAGCCAGTGCCTTTGAAAATCTTCACATCATGCCTGCGTGACAGTCTATTTAATTTTCTTAAAGTTAATGGTCTCATTGAGCACGAAATACAAAAAGGCTTCACCTCTAATATTTCAGGGACCTTAGAGCATACTGCCATGATGGCTCAGGTCATAAACAAAGCTCGTATCAAGCAACGTTCACTAGTTGTCACTCTTCTCGATCTTAAAAATGCATTTGGAGAAGTACATCATAATTTGATACCCACTGTACTGTCTTATCATCATATCCCTGACAACATACAGCTTCTTATCTCTAGCCTTTACACCGATTTTAAAACCTCTATCATCACAAGCCACTATAATACTCCTGCTATTCCAGTCCGTCGCGGTGTTCTTCAAGGCGACTGCCTCAGTCCTCTACTATTTAATCTATGCTTCAACACATTCATACAGTACATAAAAGCTGAAAAATACAAACAGTTAGATTTCTCCCCACATGATCAGAACGACCGTATGTTTCAACCAGTCCATTGGTTTCAATTCGCAGACGATGCTGCCGTTATCACCAGCAATGAGAAAGAAAACCAACTTCTACTGAATTGTTTCACTCGCTGGTGCCAATGGGCTAACATGATCATACGTGTCGATAAATGCATCACTTTTGGAATAAAGAAATTTTCCACACGTTCTCTTCAGTATCAACCTAAGCTTTTCATAAACAACGAATCTATCCCACCTGTCTCGAATGGAAATTCTTTTAAGTACCTCGGTCGTCATTTTGACTTTGAAATGACAAACCAAGAACATAAATCTGATCTTTTATCATCACTGTCCAACATGCTCAAGCAAATTGATTCCCAGCCTCTACATGCAAAAAATAAGTTGCTTCTTTATCACAACTTTGTTCTTTCTAAAATCTCTTGGAACCTTACTGTAGCAGATCTTTCAAAGACGTGGGTTGTCGAGAATCTTGACAGCCTCGTATCCAAATACATCCGCCAGTGGCTCGACCTCCCAATAAGTGCTACCTTGAGTAGCATTATTCTTTCTAAAAACCAGTTTGGACTCAGCCTAACTTTACCATCCGCCAAATTCCTACAGTGTCAAACTATTTTACGCAACGCATTGAAATCTTCACCAAACGATAACATTCGCTCTTTATGGAAAAATACCAGCAGTAGCACAAATATACAATATGATATATATAGGAACACGAAAGAAGCATTAAAGGCTGTCCAGCAAGAACATAAAGATCGTCTGCAAAACATTCTAACTTCCCAAGGATCTTTATTGTCACATCTTTTTAACCAGGATCTTTCACAAATAAACAAACTTTGGTCCAAGGTGCAAAGTAGCATGCCTCAGAATATTTTCAATTTCACCATAAGGTACCTGAACAATACCCTTGCTACACAGAAAAACTTGAAAAAGTGGAACTTGAGCCAGACTTCTGATTGTTCTTTCTGTTTTCTGCCAGAAACCCTCCTTCACGTTGTTGCTGGCTGAAAAACATACTTGGAACAAGGCCGATACACCTGGCGTCATAACTCTATCTTAAACTTTCTAGCTACGTCTCTTAAAGCTGTTAATGAATCTACCATCTACGCTGATATACCTGGCTATCTTTCACCATCAATCATAACTGGAGAAAACCTTCGCCCAGATCTTCTCTTGAAGACTAACAACAATTACCTATACATCTTAGAGCTTACTGTTGGTTTTGAATCCAATCTTGACACAAATGCAACAAGAAAACACAGCAAGTATGCTCCTCTCCTATCTGACTTACAGCGAAAGTTCAAATGTGTCTCTTTTGTGAATCTTTCTATGAGCTCTCTTGGCATCTTTGGCAATTCCTGCATCTCTTTCTTCAAAATGTGTAACTCTCTCTCCATCGATCAACAACAAAAACGGTATCTCATCTCTAAACTTTCCAACATTGCCATTCGTACTACGTACTACATATTTTGTTGCAAAAATAAACCATGGACAAATCCGGAATTACATCCGTTTTAATTTTGCTTGTTTTTTTTTTCTCAGTTTTTCCTTTTACCTTACGATTGTTATAGTTTTTTCTTGTAAAACCAGGCTAGCCAATTGCAAATTACCTTGTAATAGTGAGATTTGTAATTGTAGTTTAAGTTGAATTGAAAATGAAATGTTTCCATAGAACAAAGAATATTGTCCTCCAAAGTATTAGGGGGCAAATTCACTTGCCCAGGTGTCTCCCACTGTGGTATATGTATATCAGAGCTTTGTTTACCCCCTATAAGGCTTTAATAAAAGTTACTTTAAACAATACTCCATGAATTTCTAGCATTTCCCCTGACTTTTATACCATTTAAAGATATGTGTTGTTGATTTAGCTCGCCTGAGAAACTGAGGAGAGCAATTCACAGCTCACCTGCAAAATATAAAAGCCAGGCCTGCTCCAGTCCTCCAACCCCTGTGCTTCCAATGGCCTTGCTTGGTGCATGTGATTAATTGGGTTTCTGTCTTTCTACAGGAGTTATTGACATGTTTGGTACCCATGGAGGTTTGCTTGAGTATAGAGCAGCAATTCTTGCATCACATGGCTTTGTCACATTAGCTTTGGCATTTTTTTCCTACAAAGACCTTCCAAATGGTTTCTTCAATCTTGAGCTGGAGTATTTTATGGAGGCTGCCAAATGGCTTGCAAGTCATGATAAAGTTTACTCATCTGGCATTGGGTACATTGGTGTGTCATATGGTGGACAAATTGCATTGCATGTCAGTGCAGAATGTCCTTTTGTGAAGGCTGTAGTTGCCATTTCTTCGCATAATGCAATTGGAATTCCAGTAAAGTATAAAGGGAAAATTCTTGGTTTTACAAAAATATTTTCTAGAGAAGACATTGTTATTACTGAAGACCAAATGATTATAACACGTGATTCATTTGAAAAATATGCTGAAGAACTTCATAGCATAGAAATCCCAATTGAAAAGATTAAGGGGAAAATAATGATAGTTGCAGGAGAAGAAGACATGTCCACCAATGCACCAAAATGTGCCAGAAGGATGCAAAGTAGGCTGAAAGAATATAGCAAAGAGCCTCCAACTGTTCTTATTTACCCAGGCACTGGACATTTGATTGAAGTTCCTTACATGCCAGTTTGTTCTGCATCTTATCATTCTGTTGTTGGACATTTGATTGTATGGGGAGGTAATATAATTGAACATTCTGCAGCACAAGAGCATGCATGGCACTATATTAGGAGTTTTTTGTTTGAAAATATCCAGGATGTAACTAGCAAGTTATAACATTCTTTCAAAACTTCTTAGCTCCAATTTGAACAGATTTGCTACTATTTGTAATCTGTTTTTTTCTATTCTGAAACACTCAACTACAATAATCAGTGGCCTAGCATTCGATCCCCTGCAGATGTCACCTATTTACCATGACTCAGTTCCTTTTAATTTTTTTTTGGAATGCATGATAGAATTTTGTATATTGAATAAATCATGTTATTGCATATGTTTATAATTATGTTTCTGAAGTAATTTATTGGATGGGCCTTGTTAATGAATTTGCATTTGACCATGTATTGTTTATTTATTTTTCTGATCAGCTGCTTTGTTTGATAACTTAAATGGCCAGTAAAGCAAAACTCACTGAGTAATTGGCAAAACCAATCTGTATTAAAAATGGTGGTCTAAACGACACACACATTCACATATGGAACCAAGTTTTGTAGAACATACCTGAAATTGTCTAAGGGTATCACTTTCGCATATAATTATATATATTTATATTGTGAAAGGTACATTTAAAGGCCAATCTCCAATGGGCGAAAATTTTTTGCTTTTTCGCTGGCGAAAGGTTACGAGCATGCGTATTTGGATTCATGTGATGTGCGCGACGTTTGCCTTGAAAATAAAACTTTTTGAACTTTTTTTCTCTGTCGCCGGCGAATTTGACGTCCTATTCACGCACAGCAAAATGTCTGAGTCCAAAAGCAGCTTCGTGTTGGATGAGGAAATAAGAAAATTTCTTTGTTTCCTACGCTTGAACAAGAAAAGCAAAATCAGAATATTTGTATTCTCATCTGACATTTTGAAATTCTGCTTTCTATTTGGCATGCAAAACTACTGTGAGCTAGAGATTGTGCGCCATGCAGTTTTCGCAAGCGCAAAAGCGAAAACCCGTATACCTCCACACGCAAGGGTATCATTTTTATCAAAAAAAGGTTCCTACCTGTACTTAAAACATACAGCAAATTAGAAAAGACTATTATTAAATGGTGCAACTGAAGAGGTGAAAAGGGAAGAACCCAGGGACTCGTTCTGGACTCAACCCAGGGAGTTGAAATGGAACAGTATTAGACAAGGCCGCCTGTAAACGAGGTTACAAGATCGTTTGTATTTAATGTAGCTCTATAGACATTAAATATTTAATCATTAGACTTTCAGAGCTTAGAATCAGGGTTGCCAGATGCTTGGAATGGTTAGTGGCCAATTTTTTTGAGCTTGAAGGCCTAAATCGGCCAGCCAAACAAAATATACAAAATGCTACATTTTGACTAATTCTTTGGAGTGAAAATGTAATCAAAATTGGCTTTGTTTGTTACAAAAGCTCCAACTTGCTTCCAATTTAAATTTTTCTGTTATCTTTGACTTTGTTTCTTGCTTCGTCATTTGCATTTTTAAGATTATTTAACAAAGCGTTGGATATTTTCTGTGCAAAGTTGTCGTTTTCTTCCTATATTTGTGGCTTTCAACATGCGGCCAAAATTCGCCCAATTTTTGCTTTTTCGACCAAATAATTTTTTGACGGCCAACAGCTTTAAAAAACGCCCAGATTGGAGGAATTTGGCCGTTGAAACGGCAACCCTGCTTGGAATAATTCAGGTGACAATATAACAGAAGCAGTTTTGGGGCCTAGAATTGCCAACCTTTTGATGAATGGAAGGTTTTTACTTCTACACATGCCAAAACAAATATTCAAGCAAATAATAGCTTTCGGCAAAATTTACTAAAGAAAAGAAATGGAGGAGTATCTCAAAATGAAGATAGAGCTACACTTCTTTTCACCCCGGGCAGCTGGAATAAGCACAGGTTACTGCAGCAGTACTGTTCTGCTACATAAATTGTCAAGAGTGTCCAGAGGCTTGGCCCGGGGGAAATTCACAAATTTCAGTTTTTACCAAAACAATAATACCAAATTGTTTTGTTTGTTTTGTAATACCAATAATTTATAATACCAAAACAAATATATTGGAGGGGGCAGTGTCGCACCCCCCCCCCGAAATTCCTGGTAAATCCGTCCCTGTTTCTAAAGAACTAAAGGCGTGAAGTTGTAACTGTTATTTTGTATCATATTTGCATCATTTTTCTTGAAAACCATTACAAATAAAATATTTGTTGCTCAGTAATTTTTCGCCATCCAGTTGCCTCTATTTTTGCTTCGTAGAGGCGGTGCCTGTGACGGTCAAAGGTCGTTGTGTAGCAATGTTGCAATAAAAAGCTAGCAATCGCACTGTTTACACCCTATCAATTTAAGAACAAATTAAGAACAATCAGCCTGAACTTAAATTTACTGGCTCTTATAAAAAAGAGTGTAATTATATATTGTAATAGGTGCATTTATTTAACGTATCCCTTCACACAACAAGGGTAGCATTTTATGCTAAAAACAAGTTTTCTATATAGAAGATGCAGTTGGGGCCTAGAATTGCCAATCTTTTGGTGAACAAAATGCTTTTTATTTTTTCACACGCGAAAACAAATATCCAAGCAAATACTGGCTTTCTGCAAATTTACTTAAGAAAAGAATAGGAAAACTTGTTTCTATTAAAGAATTCATGAATAAAGATAAAGCTATTCTCCTTTTGACCCCCCACCCCAACCCCTATAACCTCCTTATTTAGCTCATCAGATATTTGAGATTATAAAATATATCAGGTAATATGTTGAGTGACCCTTGTCAAAAATAGAGCAAGATTCAGACTTTCATACGGTGTTTCATTTTATAGGCATCTTATTTACAAACTATCAGAACAGTGATTTATAATAACGTGCAGCTTAACTTAGAGTTAAAAGACTAATAATTACAAGACTGACATATCAGTTTTGATTGAATTTAAACATTCTCTGAAAATATTGTGTAAACATTCTAATCGCAGTTAATTTGGAAGCAATGCGAAAATGGTTCAGTTATCGGGGTTTCGAGTTATCGGGGTTTCGAGTTATCGGGGTTTCGAGTTATCGGGGTTTCGAGTTATCGGGGTTTCGAGTTATCGGGGTTTCGAGTTATCGGGGTTTCGAGTTATCGGGGTTGCGAGTTATCGGGGTTTCGAGTTATCGGGATTATACAGTAGCTCTATTTGCAGCATCACAGCAAAAGACCAGCCGCGCAAGTTTCCATAAAGCTTATCTTCTGTTTACCCAGATGCTGAGAATACGTTCATAAAATAATATTCAGGATATTGAGTTTGGTGAAACAGCGAACTTGGAGCAACACAGCAGATGGGCTTTGTTTGCTAGCTTTCAAATGCCTGTTTACTAAAGATGTCATGCACATTTTGCACGCATAACAGAGTATGAAATTGATATTTTTGTACACATTTGCCTATTGCTCGTTTTATAACTGGTGCAACGTTAAATGGTTAAATTTTGTGACAAAATAATATGGCAAAAAGGCTTGCTGCGACGCTTCTTGTTATTGATTTTAACAAGAAATAGAATGAGAAAGAAACAAGGAGAATTTTTCATGTTTCATAAAAGAAAGAACTTTGATCTATGTAAATGAATGAATTTAGTTTCAAGGGAACAAAATATGATTTTCTCTTTGTAGTTATGCACTCAAATATTGTGAATATGCCGCTGATTTGAGCAAAGAGCACCTGCATCTAAGCGGGGAAAGGGACAATATCTGATTATGTTACATTTATAATGTGACTTAAACAGTGGTCGAATTGAAAGGTCTCTTTTTTGAGCTATTGGGTAATTTTTGGATAAAATGTCTCCTTAGCGTGTTTTTGCCCCTTTCCCATTTACATTTACTCTACAGGCACCCCTTTTTAGGGTGACAAAGTTCTTTAGCTTTGAAGAATGGGAATTGTATTCACCAAAAGACATCATTGACTTTAATGTGCATTTTTGATAGTGGGCCTGCTAGCAAAGTGTCTTTCCACAATCTGTAGAACACCAGCAGTGAAAATGCAGTCGCTATAATGGCACAGCTCTATACGCGCCCGACCATATGACGTCATTTATGCAATGTGGTGTCCATATACCGATGTTGATGATGCATTTCCGTGTCCAAATTGATTACTGCTTTTTCTTTCCTGGAAGAATAGGATTGTTACATTAAAAAAGCATTTTTAAGCAAATAATTTAATACTAATCCATCGTGATTATGGTGATGGTCACTATGAGGATTTATGCTGATAGTCATTGATAGTGATCGATGATGGTGATTGTAAGTGATTGAAGATGATTGTGGTTGATAATGGTGATTGATAGGGTGGGCTGATGGTGATCGATGACAGTGATCGATAATTGATCGATGATGATTGATGGCGATTGATCGACGATGATCGATAGTGATTGATAATGGCGATCGACGATTGTGGTAGACGAAGGGGATCAAAAAAAATAATCATGATTAAGATTTTGGTGATGTGAATCAATGTTAAATTATTATCATTTCATTGTAATATATATTCCACAAAATGGAGTTTGAAAAACCATTGGCAGCATTAGTATGTTAATATAAACTCCTCAAAAATCATCAACAAGACCAGGGAAATTAGCAATCATAAATTTTTTCGATCCGTGGGAAAGTAGGGGAAATTGGAGAAAAGGCATTAGGAATTATCTTGGTAGAAGAAAATATGTTTTGAATTTCTGGATTAGCTTTCTTAAAAAAACGGGCGGGCCTTTACAGGTCGTAATCAAACAGAACCAAGGCAGGTGTGAGGTTGATACCAAGCAATTTATACAAGCTTTTGGGTTGATTGAGAAAGCTGCTGTTGACAACCAAGCTTCAATAGCGATGCGCACATGCTAATGAAGATCATGAATTACATCTTGTAGAGTTCATAAATAAATAAAGCGTTTATAAGTTTAGATCAAATAGACAACAGCCCGATGAAAAATCTGTATTTGTTTTCGCTTGGTATCTTATATCAATCAATATTATCAAGTCTTTGTCGCCACACTCGAAAGCCTCGCGAGGAAAATAAAAAAAACTAAAATGAGGCGAAATCAAGAGGTTTGATTTTCAGAAAGCGGCAATTACTCGTATTTGCTTTGGAAAATCACTCTAATCGGGAATTCAACAAGCCCATAACCCTTAACTGCCTATAGCAAAGTTTAACACTGTAAAAAGTATATGAATTCAATTAAGGGAGACCAGTTTCCCATACAAGACGCCTAACTGGGCGTATTTTCATATAAATCTACACTTTCATAAAATAACTTGATGTTTTCTATTCTTTCTAACAAATATTGGACAATTTCAAAGCAGTAATGGGCACATTTAGACGATCTAATAGGATCTTTATCTTGCTGTATTTGCAGTTCTTGCTTGTTATAGTAAAAGTTTTATTTTTGTCTATGGCCAAATCGAATATCAGAATATCACTGATAGCTAACTAAAGACTTTAAGCTGATAATTTTTGTTGCTAAGTTCTTAGAAGTTTCGTTAGTTTTGATGAAGAAGTAACAGGAGTCTCAATGCAACATGCAGTTAACGGTATGATCACTTGTAGATCATTGTTATAAAACCAGGTGCATGCAACGGGACAAAAGTAACTACGGGCGACGCATCAGGGAGACAGCTGTACAAGCCTTGTGAAATTTCCTCTTCAATTTCATGAATATTTTCACGCAGTAAAAGTCCATACGTTTTATTAAAATAAGAAATCGTTGTGATTTTTACACCTCAGTCATTTAATGGGCAGTTAATGATTAGAAAAGCTACAACTGTGCCCAACGGAATGGTTCTGCTCACGTAAAGGAGATGCCTGTCTTGTTCCAAAACGCAAAGATTTTTAAGACAAGGGTGCTTTTCCATGATGTTTATATAAAAACGTCAACAATGAGAGTCCGAGTTTTATCAGCTAGGCTTAAAAAGTTGTAGCCTTTTCAATCGGAGGTGCACACCACTTGGACATCAAAAATTCCCAGCTCTTTCTCTCTGTGCTTGGTATTGGCCACCATTTTGAAACAAATTTTAGCTGTATTCACCATAAATGGGGTCTGTAAAGACCGTTGTTGAAGTTGGATGGTTTAGCTTTCTGATTTCAAAGACTTGGCATGTAAATATTTCAACATTAATTTCTTCAACATTAATTAACGCACCACAGCGCCCAGAACAGATACTTTATAAATCTGCCATCCACTGTAACTAGGTCAAGTTTATGTAACGAATTTTGTCTGAGCTATCCTCATTCATAGACTCAATAATTGCCTTCGAGAACAAAAAACCTGGTTGAATAAATTGAGAATTAAATTGAAAACTTCCAAAGCTTTGAAACGAAAAAAAATTGCTGGGAAGTTAAAAGACAATTAAAAGCAAACTTACTGCTTCGAAGTGACAAAGTGGTCGCTTTTCGTCTTCTTTTCTGCTGTTGATACGAAGGGACCTTTTTCGTTCTTTCTCTTATCAGGCGCCTTCTTTTCTTCTCTCTTTCTAAAAACTGCTGTTGTAGCTCTTCAGAAGGAACTAAACGAAAGAAAATCCGAATCACTATTAGAAAGCAAGAAAGATTAAGTATCAATGATTACGATTTCCATTAGGATGGAAATGGATCATTCATTTATGATATGAATCAGGCAATCAACGAATAACAACCTGACTGATCGTATGCATCAGAAGGCAATTACCTCCAATCAGGTAATCAAATAAATACGAAAGTTTTCAAGGAAGGTGTTATTAAAATATCTATATAAATATAGCTGACTAATCAGTAACGTAATCATCTAATCGATTAAAATGTAATCACTTAATCACGACGGGTCACTTAAGAAATGCATAAGAAATGATTCTCGATTTAATGGGTTATTTTCAGGCTAAAAAACCTGTTATTACGACATGTTTAACTTGAATAGAACAATTACCAATTTATAAAGATGATTTAGAACATTTTAAATACTATCTTCATCATTTTGCCAGATTGAAGAGTTCAAATAAGAAGCTTGAAGTTTTTAGCAAAGCTTCAAAACGAGGCAACTGCAAAAGGTTATATGCGACAAGGTCAGGTGCATTTTTGATAGAATTCCGCATTTGGAAATTTCAAATAACGGTATAAAATATTCGTAACTGAAAGGTTTTCATAACACATACGACTACTAATCTAGGCATTTCAGTTAATTCTCAGAAACCCTACTCTCTCAAAGCAAATATTCTTCCCTTCAAAATTTGTACAACAGAAACTCGAAGAGTCCTTTCTACATATAGAAATAAAAAACGATTCAAACATCCTCTTGCTTAGTGACACAGCCCTAGAGAAGTAGAAAGGAAGTCAACAAAGCACATCTTGCGTCCCTGCTGTTAAACAAAGACAAATAAAGTTTTGCAAGAAATTTTCTTGCGTAAAAAGACGACAGCTGCTATGATCAGCGGAAAAACTTGTTTGCCAAAATAAGGTCAGTTCGTGCGAATCGTTTTAAATATAGGGAAATTTGATAGTTTAATACAGCTTACATGGCCAAAAATAGCCAAGGGGAGTTGATATCATACTAAAAATTAATGTGTCCTCTTCAAATTCGCGACAAACAGAAGGCCTACCTTGATGTAAGTTTGAAAGAGTCCTCTGCAGCTGCGCTATGTAGTTTATTGCTTCTTCGACGACCTCGATCTACGAAAGTAAACAAATCTTGTCATTAAAACTAGAAACTAGAGAAGATATCACCAATTAACCAGTTTAAAATGTCACTGCAGCTCATGAGTATCATCTGATAAGACGATGACGTAACATTGGTGAAATTTTAGGTGAAATTTGGCGCTAAGGACTCCACAGTGAAATGCCCTAGACAGGTTTTCCTAATATGAAGATTTCAGAAAAAATTTTCATGAAACAGCTTATTCTGCCTGAAACCAACAAAGGATGAGCATAGGCGTATAAATAATTCTGTTCTGAACTTTCCAATTTGGGGTTACTCCTGAATGCTGTTGCTGGGGCACCAAGAAACCTTCTGCATAGAAACAGTAAAAAGGGGATAGAAAATGCCCTTAGGTTCCAGCAAGTTACCTTATAAGAGAATTGAGGTTGGGTAAGCAAATATTGGTGGTCCAAGACATGAGCAATTATGTATAAATTGCAGGACGTACAGAGGCTTAAGAAAACTTTCTATCAAGTAGTTAAGTACGTGTAAACAATGAGAAAACTTATTTTTGTTTGTGATTTAAGCTCATCTAACAACCCAATATCAATTTGTTATAATAAAAAATTGCTGTGAGAAAATGGTCGACACTAAGGTCTATGTTTGATAAACATAGGATAATGAAATATTCTTAAGAAGGCCAATCAAACATTAAGTCATAAGTGCAACGTGAAATCTTACTTTTGATACAGTATGCTTGGCTGCTAGCTGTGGAATCAACGTCCGTAACCGTTGGTACTCGGCAGCATCTTTCATCAAATGATTCAGCTCTGATAAATCACTTTTCGTGGGCTTGCTACATAAATCCATGTCTTGCTAACCAACTAACTGTGCCTTGCTTCTTCTATAAGTCCAGTGTTGTTCCCTGACACAAGCTTTGACGCTTATATGCAATCTTGCTCTGTGTTGTAAGCTAGGCCCCCTTTTCAGGTAAGTATACTTAGTGAACAGCTCACTGTAGCCTTGAAATAAGCAAGGCAAGAGGAGAGATACCCTTGAGAACTTCTATCGTTAACAATTTCGTCGGAATAATGTGTAAATTAGGCGACTTTGGCCTTTCCACTTTTAAAGTAAATTTCGAAACAGGTGTTTCGGAGGTAGAAAAACTTTCAATCCATTATTATTTTAAAAAACCCGCACAACCAGCCGGCTTCAGCCAATCAGATTCGCAAGATGCTCGCAGCTGACCAATCGAGACCTGGTACCAGTTAGCCGCGCGTTTTGCCAGCCGGCGCTGCCAAGATTTGATAAAGGTGCAAGCAACGTGACTTCATTGCCCCTGAAACTATACTCATAGAGTGCAGTGAATATTTCGAAGACTGCAGCCATCACCGTGGATACACGAATACGAACGATATGCGTTTTCGAATGTATCACACGTGCAGAGAACATTACATGTAGAATGATCGAACATAATAGCATTGTAGTAAAGTTGTGTTTTGAAAGGCGCATCTGGTGTCTTCCATTCGCAAACGCAACTGTACAAATACCACAAAAGTCGAAGCGAATTTTTGCTGTGAAGTTTTGATAACTAGGTAATAAGCCGTTGCTTCTTCTCATTGTGAATTGTAAGGCTGGGAAAATGAAAACATTGCAGTTTTCCTAATACGTCTCTTTTTCAATGGAATCAAAGTGGAGCTCGTTATTTGAGAGTTTTACAATAGTAATGTAAATCATTGCAAAAGTAGTCTAAAATACTACAGTATAATAAAAAATCTTACAGTAACGTATATTCATCCTTGGCTTCTTCGGGCTGTTTTAGCTACAAATGCGTAATCAGTCATGTTAGGTCTGAGGAGAACTTTTTGTCAACATCTACCCTCGAAATTCTAGGGGATATTTTCTGGATCCCAGGAAGAAAACACTTTTATTACCTGAAACGGTGATCTGGTTGGAAATATTTAGAAATTGCATCCGATATATTTAGCAAATTACTATTTGTCTCAAAACAGATTTCTCATATTGAGAAACCATAGTCATAAAAATTACCCATCTCGGCCAATCTCCTGCCATGTGATAAGGCTACCAGTTTTTAGTCAGAGGAATTCTTCCAGTTTTATAAGCTAAACGGCGTCCTTACAGTGAAATACACAGGGATCGCTGTGTGTTTCCTCTACGTACAGTAAACTAACCATTATAGTAAACATAGAATACAGCGACTGAAAAAGGGAAGCTGCCGCAACATGCATAAAAAACCCTTACTTTAAAAGCATTTAATTGCTCTTATGTATGGAAATGTGGCATCCATGACTACTCAGCTGATAAATACACGCAAGTGTGGACTGATGTACAAGCGAAAATAGAGTTTGGTTTTTGTCACCATTTGGTTTTTGGGAGTTGACGGAAGAGGTCCACATTTATCGAGTCAAACTGGGGGCAGTGCAGGAGAAGCAATGTTAGCAATGTTATTGTAGCAATGTTATCGATACTTTTTTTGCTACTTTTGGTTGCTACTTTTTCCAGTGCAGCAACCAAAAGATCAGGCTTAGGCACTCGTCAGTAACTAGACTTCTATTCCACGTTTGCCTGACCAATCTTTAAGGCCTGACCTAGTACTGAAGAGAGCTCATCTAATTTAGGTTCAATACACTGTAGTGAAACAAGATTTTGGCTACCAGAATATATATCGCGGCATTTATTCAAATATTATAAATGATTATATACTTAAAAATAGAATATTTCAAGAGAAAATTGGAGGAAACATGGAACAAGCAGGGGCTCTTAATCCTACAAAAAGACCACTTAAAAAGCAGCCTAGCTACGATTTTCAACTATAGTGCAGAACTAAATATTTAGTGCTCGCAAACAAAATAGGCTAAAATCTTAGGTAATTCAGGCTGGGACGTATTTGTCATTGAACGATTCAAAGAGGTTTACTTTTGTAAACTTTTACAACCCTGAAATGGTCACAAGAATGTATATAAGACATATATATAATTGTACCACCCCCTCACATTGCTGTTCACTAATTTGAACTGATATTCTTTTCCCATTGGCTTTTCCTACCTTATTCAAGTCAAAAAACGTACCCCGGACATTTACTAAATCAGATCCGTTTCTTGCACCCTTTGAAGGTTCGACGGGATCCTCATTTCTCCCTGAGAAAGTCCTTTTTCTTTTACATCTCAATGTCAGTAAAATCTATCTCTAATTCTTACTGTTTTACATTTTATTTGCATATCGAACTATTGTATAAGAATTACGAGAGATGATGGACGTGTATCACCAGTAGATGAAAGATGACAGCTAAACGTACACGGGTCACCAGCTAAAAGCATGCGGCCTTGGTTCATCTGTCTTTCGACACAAGCCGTGTAAAACATATTTACTAAGGAATTTCAAAGACAGGTATCAGTAGGAAGAAAGAAAGGTGTCCCTTTTATAACATGCAGACGGAAAGAATAGAGAAACCAGATTGTAAGCCAACAACAGACAGAGATTTTCACGATGAAATCATTTCAGTGTGATGTAAGCCTGGTCTAATAAGCCAACATAGTTAGAACATAAATCGAGATCTTTTGCTATCTGTTACTCTGAGTGGAAAATTTTGATTCTTCTAAATATTATTCTAGCAACACTGTGCTCTAATGATATTTGGCTGGAATTGTTACTGCATTTCAGAAAAAAAGTTTGATTCACAATCGATTGAAAGAAAAAATTACTTTCAATAAAAACAAAATTGGCAGTAAAGCAGCTAAGCAAATTGGCAACCATCTTATAAACAACTTTTCCTACTGGACAATCGAGGCAAAGTTATCTTTAGACAACCAGAACTCATATTATATCCGTTCATTCCCTTTAAGTTTAAATTGATGGTTGCAGGACCATCAATTTACCCCATTTACATTTACCCCTGACAAATGCCCCCGTTCGATCGCACCTATTCCTTTTAAATTTTAATATCGCCTTATTTAACTAGCCATCGTCTCTGAACTTACAAAATCCGAGAAAAAAGAAGATGAGCTCTAGGTGTTGGAAAAATCATTTCGTTTATAAGAAACTTTCACGGAGTCGTTCGCGTTCAGCCGTAACTTTCTCTTGACTTTGAATGCATCAAAAACAGCAAGGAAATGAAACTTCTTAAGTCGTGAGAAAACAGTTCTCGATTCACGAACTATGCTGATGAACAAACAGCTAGGACATGTTCTTTAACAAAAAGTCGAGGTGTAAAGCTTCAAAGAGTTTTTGTTGCCAATTAGTGAACTATTATTTGAACATTTAAACCGATTTAAATCCCTTTAAGCAACAACAGAACATCAGAAACGCATATAAGTGGCAGATTTCTTAGCAGGGACTCCTACTGAAATATCTAATTAACAAAACTGAATTCGACTGACATATGCCTGCTTTGATCGCCAGACACCGGGCTTAGATATAATACAATAATAGAAACGCGTGTTCGGATGAATGGAAAACAAGTGAACAGCATCTGGGTGATACTATCTGAAGCAAATGAATAGGTTTGCTTTGAGCAAAGAAGCCTATTGAAAATTTGTAAACCGTTTATCAAAGTAACAATAGAAAAAAGGATGGCTATTACAACTGGTGTTCTCTGCTAGGCCTTGGAGACGCACACGCACGGCACGCGTGTCTGCAAATTGCTACGGAGATACGCGAGATACACGCAGGACCCGCACCGGAATTTACCTATTGACTGCTTTCTAACAAAACAGTTTCTCAGAATTTACTTTAATTATCATCTCGTTGGGTTTTGTCAGGATGGAAAAATTGATTGAAGAAATTTGAGAGAATGGTGCGAAAAGAGGATTAGCTTTGGGTAAGAAGACAAAACGGAGAATGATTTTTATCACTGTAGCCAAAGAAAGAAACTGCAGCAACCATTGATGAAAATCAAAAGATTTTTACTACATAGAAGGATTCCTTTATAAAAAGATACTTGTTCAGGTATATGTAAGCTTCCAATTAGGCTATTACATTCTAACAATTGTGTTGGACTTGAAAAAACTCTAATTCACCCTCCAGAAAGCGCGGAAATTGGCAGCCACAAAAGGTGCACGATAAGTTGAAAAAAGTTGAACATTGAAACTGGAAAATACAACTTGAGAAAAAATGAGCCTTAAGCGTTGATAGTTTTGAAAACAGCGATCAAAACGCGAAGGGGTAGCCCTTTCGATGCAGCAGCTCCAAAACTATGAAACAGGAAACTGTTTCCAACAAAAAATTCATAACATTGAAACAAATCAAGCTTAAAACATCTTTATTTGCTACTGCTTGTCAGCGATTTTATTCACATTTCATTTGACATTTCTTTGAAGCATTTGGCCTGAGTATTTTTAAGTAAATAAACCAGGATTTAACTTCTTACTTGCAAATAAAGTTATCTGCCCCATAACATATTCTGTCAATGTTAACGCCATCAATATACAATAAATAGATTCAATCCATAGATAATCGCATCAAGCGTGAAACTTCGAATAGCAGCTTAGAACTTTCTTCTTCTGTACATCAAATAGCGTGCACAGTTCTGTATCGCCCATACTGTATCGAGCACTTTATGACTGACCGGTAAACAGTTAGTTTCATTTCATATAATAATATCATAATTGAAATCCATGAAAAGTCATATTTAATAGCGACGATGTATAGAAACAAAAACTGGCAAGAAACTATTGATCGCCAAAGTATGCTGTGCTTGGCCTTCATGGTATCGAGCGCTGCATGGCAGAGAGGTATTTTCAAGCGCTGCATGGCAGATAGGTATTTTCAAGCGCTGCATGGCAGATTGGTATTTTCAAGCGCTGCATGGCAGAAAGGTTTTTTCTGCACTGGGATTATTAGAGCATAAAAGTAAAGAGTTTTGCGGCTGCATTCTGCAAGATTCGAAAGGCAAGCTTTGAAATGAAAATAAATAAATAGGAAGAATGCACGCAAATTTAGCAAACCGTCATGAGCATAAATTAACATACTTTTAAAATATCGGTTTGAATTTTAAAGCTATCCAGTTAAAGCTATCCAGTTTAAAATCTTTGTTCTTTAACGTACTTAAAGTGTTTCATATCCTTATTTTCCTATTTTTCAGAACTTTGAACGCGATGATCTTAATTCCAAAAAACAGTCTATGAACTGCAATAACGAATTTCGCTTATTTAACATATTTACCCGCGGGCTTGAAGCCACCTGCGACTTGCTGCGTGAACCCGAGCTTTTACTTGCACCAATGAACATCTAGCTTGGTATTTGGCCATCAATTCTTGATGGAAACAGCATTTGATCAAACGAATGGGTAGAAGAAGTCATAGGGTGCCTTTCCTTCGAAATTGGGCTTCGGTTTCATTTGCGCTTCAGGACTTGTCGATACATCGATGAAAGAGACGGACTGAGACACTTCAATTTGCTGGGTTTGAAGATTAGAGGATCCTGGCTGACAGTACGGACCAATGCACTAGAAATAATGAGATGGGTTATCGAAACTCGTGAAAATTTCACTAGCACAATATATTGATTGGCTGGGATAAAGTTAGCAGAAAGTAGTTGGTATCACAACTTTTTTTACTTTTCACTTGTTCAGTTCTAAGTTGTACACAATTTTCTTCTTTGTTTCCACAATCCCTACCAAAATTTCTGGGGACGTCCTGTTGCTTTGGTTTTTTTCTTTAAAAAACTAAGTACTTCATGTAGCAAGACCAACATCTTAAGGCCTCTCCTCCAAAACAATATCGGTTTTAGATTTCAACATCACTGTAATCTGAAATGAATCCATTGGACCATACCGAGCCTTTCTAGCTTTGCATAAAACAACATTGTCCAATGAGGGAGAGGGAGAAGCAGTAAAAATGGTATAAAATTTAGTGTAATGAACTAACTCTTTTGGCAGGCATTTAAGTTCTTCACTAGCTTAATTTTTCGAAGGACTTGGCAAAATAACTCTTTTCATCATCAAAATATTTTAGGTAGGGGATGGTTTATATCATTCTGCCTAATTATATCAAATCGATGATCACCAAAATTCTCAGTGGATGAGTAATACAATAGGTTATTGTCAATGTACCAATCAGAGCCAAGAGTTTGTCAATTTCAAACCTGTTGCATAACCTAGTGAATAGTACACTGACTAGATTTACTTATAAGAAATTGAGTAAGCCCTAAGTACTAAAAGTTTCCTAAATTTGGCATCTAAATTTGGTCCTTTTAGAACTAAAAGTTTCTTAGTGGATTTCTTATTTCGGAACCTAAAATTGTCTTATCCCCCCCCCCTTTATTGTTTTGAAGTTGAGCAACACAGATCACTATGAAAAACGCAAGTAGGAATGCAAATATAGGAAAAATGCTATTTTTTGCAACGAAAAATCAACAAAATAAAACTTTTGGACTCCTTTGATGGAAATTTTACAGTTTCTTAATTTATCTTGAGCCTAGTACGAGAGTTTCTTAAATTTTTGGCCATCCTGGTACTAGATTCTCATAAACCAGTTTCTCACAAATAAATAAAAACGTGTATGTCCATTCTTTTTACACATACAATGCCACGTTACGATAATTGGCTTGCGGTAAAACAGCATTCTGAAAGTTGGTACAATCAATTTTTTCCATAATTAAATCGTTTAGCATGCAACATGGGACAGATATCAAAATGGCATATATGCATAAACTAATCTCTTAAGCAGGTTTGCCACTTATATTTGAATATGCAGGTCATAAAAATGAAATGCCATTGAAAATACCAAGCATTTACATTAGATTTTAAGCTGATTGTGGCTTTCAAGCATACGAGTCACCACTGTGCATTCAGCCCTTGCTGGTTTGCTGTTTGTAAACTTCACTGACTCTTATATTGGTTAATCGATGCAGACAAGACAACGTCAGCTGCTTTATAAACATGTTTCGCCATATGTTCTCAATTAAACTATCACCGGCAATATTTCAGAGGATTCTGAAAACCTTGTTTAGAGTTGAGAGTCTTCAAGCTGATGGTTCTTTCTATATAAAGATCAGACTAGACAGCACGTTTGGTGTCATTGTATTGAAAGAAAAATAAGTAAGCATGAGTCTTGGAGAATCACTCGACAGTCTTTCTAACCAACATGACCTAGAACCGCACCGCACCACTGACAACTCAAACAGTCGGCTGAAGACCATTGTCGCCCATCAGTACAAGTATCGTCGCTGGACCCTCAAGACAAGGAAAGGGGGGAGGGTCATCAATAGAAAATTTACAGACGAAGACATAGATGGAGGAGAATTTAGGTGCTAGTTCACCTACTGATAGATGATTTTACCGACAAACTAAGGGTTTTGTAGACAAACTGAAGATTTACCGACGAGTTTATGAAGAATGGGGGGGGGGTGTTACACCCCCCTACAGCCTTCCTCTAGCTACACCCCTGATCAGTACAGCTAGACTGAATGAGGAACTGGAGCCGACCTAGGGCAGTACTTAGGCTGTTAGTGGCAATACATGTGGGGGGAGGGGGGTGGGATGGATTGAAAATTGGAAGTCTGAAATTCTATTAAGCTCCTCTACACCAATGTACATTGTAAATCAGAAAGTAAAATAGAAATGAATTTGAATCGTATTAGAAAATAAAGATATACGTACAAGAAAACTGATCGTCTTTGGAGAGTCATACTTCACTCGGAAACCAATGACCTGCAGAAGAACATATTCATCAGTGTGTTTATTGAGTAAGGGAGAGCAATACGAAGGACACACAATCAATGGTAGGGGCAAGATAGTGAATAAGGCACAAAACATTTACCAAATATTGCCTGTTTCCTTTGTATTTTCAAGGAACCACTTTCCTTCGTTGCCCTGTCCTTAAGTAATATCAATAGAAGCATAAGTTGTCTGGAACTGGATCATTAATGCAAATCTAATAGTGCAGTGCAAAAATAAATCTCAACAAAGAGCTTTACAAAATTTTAACGACTCATTTCTTGTGGAATTGTCTAGCTTTTCTCCAGTTAGCTGTCTGATAGGATGTATTTCATATTGGTCTTTGGGCTGGTGTCACAAGTGTAGAAAACGTTCCTTGCTTGACAGGAAAGGTTAGCAAGAACAGAATGTATTTTCAGTTTAATCAACAATATGAGCAAAGCCTCATAGGTAGGACTTTTCAGGCCTCAAAATGCAATTGTGCAAAATGCAATTGTTGATCTAGGCTCAACATAACAGCCTATCAATTGATGATAACAGCCTATCAAAACTATGCTAGATAGGGAAAACAAAAGCTCTAACGCATAGGTTTGAATGAATCAAACAAACATCTTCATTTTATACCTTTTTAAAGAATGTTTTCAGGATCAACCTAAAGATATATATATTGCAAAGTTGTGCTTTCTTTGACAAAACCAGGCCTGAAATTACTGCAACATGGCTCTTCAAAGCCTTTACAACAACATTAACAACATCAAATCAGTATAAAATGCAGCTTTGCTCTCAAAACCTGCCTTTGTATCTGAAACAACATCTCAACAACTAAGATTAAACTTAATTGCCAAAGAGGTTCTGAAAGAGAATACATAGCAATTTTAGAAGTTAACTAGCGTACCCTTGACTGTGGGTTTCCAAGATATCCAGTGCTGCCATGGAGGATCTCAAAATGAACACCTAGTATCATGTTTGTGCACTCACCGTTTACAGAAGATGGCTGAAAAGAGAGAATGCAGAGAACATTTAATGTTTTAGTAAGATTGCTCATTATATCAGTCAAAGTCACATTGATTCAAAATATTCTACAAACAAACTACTAAAATGCTGCTAGAAAAAAGTGTCAAATGCAACAATATATTTTTTACGACTTTATTATAATATTCAATATCAAATACACTTTCCTTCTCCTCAAAGATGACGAACCCCAATCGAATTAACCAGGAGTGGAGTGACAACTGGTTCAAAATTTATTTCACTTTAATATAGATTTGCGACAAAAAAGTTTTTCTTCCAGCCCATAAGCTAGACACATTCAATAACTTAAAAGGGGTGCCGATATCCTCGAAATTTTGCACGAAAAATGCACAACGACCTTGACTTTCTGTTCATACTTTTATACTAGATACCACTGTACTTCTATTCTATATTAATTAAGATTTAATGATCTAATACTGTCTCGAAAGGGCCTAGGGTAGTCAGAAACTTGGTAAATAGGCCTTTGGAAAAATTAATTTAAAATTTGTCAGTTACAAAAGTCTGAATTAATCACATTGCTTCTATCAATATTAAACTGAATTGACGTCACAAAGAATTGCTTCTCAGGTTGCAAGATTTAAATGCCACAAATTTCACCTACAACAACAAATGATTACCGAAATATCACCCTCTGATGCCAAATTACTTATATATGTAAATAAAGAACGATGTAAAGAGCTTGGTGGGAACTAAGAACGATGTAAAGTTTTTTTTAAAAGATAAAGTCTTTGGCCATTCGCTACTTTGAAAATCCCTATGAACACATCTACTTTTTTGCGTAGGAAGATAATGCACACGTCTTGTACTTACAGGTGTTTGCGGCTGGCTGTTGATAATCGGCACCCAGTCAGCAGTATTTGTAACAGCAGAATTACCGTACATTGCAACGTGAGTTGGGAAGCTGCCCAACAGGCTATTGTAGATGTTGCTTTGAAGCAGGCTGCATTCTTGGTTAGTCATTACTCTTTTGATGCTGAAAAATACAAAGAAGCATGAGACCTAGGGAAAAGTATGCTGTGAAAGATCTTATGACGTCACGATATATTATTAAAGAGGCTGATGCCATTTGGGTGTGACATTTGCTGGAAACGTGGCGTTTAACAAAAAATCAAATGACCTTGAAATCCAAAGAATAATACATCACTCTTGAAATATGAAAAGAATCTAGGGCCACACGGAAAGCAGCGGTATTCAGAGAAATTATCCCCTTCCCCTAGGATTAGATCCAATGCTGGTACAAGAAAAAACACATGGTCCCGAATGTTTACTAACGGTCGAGGCTACTGACTTGAGTTCGTATTTTGTTCTAGATCGAGTAACTACCTCTGAATCTCGAGATAAAATTAAAGTACCACCATGTTTCGGCTGTGAAATAAATTATTAGATAACTGGTTTTCAATAACTAGGGATAAGCATAGCTTCTCAGTGTCCTAGAATCTACCTTCAGAAGCTACAATCCCGGACAAAATTATTCAGACAAGATGCAATTTTTGCAATTTTTGCAATTTCCTACTTTATGCAATTGTTGCCCTGTAAATTCGAATCCACCCTTTTCCCCCGAATCAGTGTTAGGTCTGTAGTTCTATCATTTCTCCTTCAAAATGATGCATTCAACATTGAATTGGGGGAGAGGGAAAGTTATTTTTCGAAGGATAGAAAAATAACAACATTCCTTGAAAAGTTGCAACTATTTTGTCCGGGATTGTAGGTAGCAACAAGATAAAAAATTTGCCCAACAGTAAATCCTCAATTAGTGATGCGAAAGAGCCAAGAATATATGATGATCGGAGCCTTCCTAAAAACCATTCAGTCGAAACGTGATGGTAGCGTGTCTGTTCTTTTTACATTCAAAAGAGTTGCATGACTCATTTGATAAAAACAATGTCACAGTTACGGCAATGGTGGAATTTCCCTCGGATGGATTCAACAAGCGGGTCAGTCTTCTATCTTAAGAGGTGAACGTTTTTCTGTATAACATTTCGATTGCTGGTGAGATTGTCATCAAATTTATAGGGGTTTCTCTCATTCGACTATATCATTGTTAAAAACACGAATAATTCCAAATCAATGTACTGGCATGAGGCAAATCCAAATATTCAAGCAATATCAACACTTTATGCCGAATGGTTTTCTACAAACGATGCCTAGAAAATTTACCAAACTTGCTCCAAACATACGTAAAAATAATAAAAAATTTACATCTTATATTGACGCAGATGCTCATACCACAGAGAAAAATATCAAATCAATGTACTGGCATGAGGCAAATCCAAATATTCAAGCAATATCAACACTTTATGCCGAATGGTTTTCTAAAAACGATGCCTAGAAAATTTACCAAACTTGCTCGAAACATACGTAAAAATAATCAAAAATTTACATCTTATATTGACGCAGATGTTCATACCACAGAGAAAAATATAAGTAAATGAATACAACTGAATAATTAAACATTTTATGACCGTGAACTCACCTGATAAAACATCCTGTCCTAATGTTGATGCCAAATTTAACCGACATCCTTTGCGAGGTCACACCACAAGCATCGGACGATGATTTGATGACAGTTAACCATTTATTCGGATCTTTATTTAAGATTATAGCTTCTCTGTTTTGGCATAAGTTAAAGGAAACCATAGTCATTAAAACAGTTTATTTACTTTTCTTCAATGTGTACTATTTTTTAAGTACCATTCATTTGTTATGAGTCAGCTGCGTGCAAAGTGTCGCTTGTGTAAATCACACTTAAGTAAAATTCGTATAAGAGAATCTACTAATTTTGTAATGGCTCCTATTTTATAATATGTGGTTTTTATAAAGGAGGCGCTTTTCCGTAAAAAAATCAACCTGGAGGTTGCACTAGTCCGCAGAGGACTCTCGTCGACGCACTTTCATATTACACAGAGGCATCGTTCACAGCAACTGACATTTTATCCTACGGGTTCAGACAACATTAAAATTGAAGAAAATTTTGCTAAGTATTAAAATGAAGTTAAAATTTTGGGCTGTTTCAAGCCCCCAACAATTTAAAAATGGGCAGAAAAATTTACTGAACATCAGTTCTTGATGTGTTACGAACTACCTTCTAATCGATCGGAATTTTCATCCTCCTGTGCACTTTTGAAGGTACTCGGTTAAGAACGTCTTTGGGAATTTAGATGAAACAAGAAAAAAGCTCAAAATAGGGGCATGAAATAGAGCAAACTAAACCATGTCCTTTCTTTAGCATTGAAATGCTCTGTGTAGCATTTGTTTTTATGTAATGCTTGCTCTAAAAGATTAGTAGCAGGTTGTTGATAGAGCTGAGCTGAGAATACGATTCTCCAATGAAGAAGGCCGACCACAATTAAAAGAAGATAACAGGATGCATATGTTTCTAAATGACACCAAGTGACCATGTGTGTCCTTTACTAATTTCGGATTTTATTCATGCTCTTTACTCGTTGGAAATAGAAAAGGAAAACCAAAGAAGATAACCGATGATATAAAAAGGTTTTTAATATTTTGTGGAGCGATAGGAGACAGTCACTTGCTAGATTTCTGTTCTAACGAGAAAGGGACACAGTCACAAGCCTGATAAAGACACAAAAGAACTATTTGAAGCCGAGAAATAATCAGGAAAATATATTTGCTGATTATTTTTAACATGCTCGAATGAAAGTCAGCTTTAAACTAGCAGTGGTGAGAACAGGTGCAGATAAGAACTCTAATAGTTTATGTTTCTAGAATTGTGATTGTAACTTGAGTAAAACTGACAAAAAGCTTGGAAAATTAAAGGCAAGGATGCAAGGAAAGATGGCTGGCCTTGTTTGAGATACCGGCACTGATTATCATGAAGAAGGCCCAAAAAAATACAGAAAGCAGGTTTGTCATTTGCAAACGGCAAGCTCATCGAAGTAGCTCAGCACCTGTCTCAGGCGTTCCCGCCCACACTGGGTTTGGCATCATTAGCTTGATTGCAAGTACTTAAAAAGAATGCACCTACACAAAGACAGCTCATATTCAAGAGCAATAATCAGAAAGGGAGATAAATTACAAATAGAACGGAGGTTGAGATATGCAACGTGGAGAAAAATGCAATCACTGTTGTTGCTAGCGTTACTGAAGAGACCGAGCCAATAATGGTTTGTAACAGCTAATCCACACGGAAGGACTAAATGGTGCACCACATACCAGATACTTGACTTTCTATGAAAGCAAGATATTGTTCAGCTACAACGACAAAAACAACCAAGCAGGAGATGGCGTTCTCAAAGGGAACAGGTCTAAACAAGGATTTGACCGGTGGCAAGTTTCGAAATTAAATTTAGGAAAGAAACTTTTTCCAAAATGTGACATTCGGAGCGGACTGTGTTACCTGGTGGTGGTAAAAATGGGACCCTAAGTGACAAGGATTGTCCCCTTTTAATTCTAGAGCATACTGCTCATGGCACTTTTGCAGTACTGATCATGAAAACACATCGAACGCAAGGATGTGTCCTTTATTTGATATTCCCCCCTGTCTTATGTCCTTAAATAACGGATTGCTCAAATGGGCAATATCCAAGCAGTAAATGATTTGTTTAGGAACCGGGGGGATTCCCATCATATATTCATTTTAGTTGAAGCAAAAGGATACTTCTTCTGCTGTGTGTTCGTCTGTAGCGTGCCAGCCAAAATTGGACGTCCATGAACGTAACCAGGATTGCCGCTTCGAGAAAATGTAGATTGTGATCCAACCTATCAAAAGAAGACATAGTTACTTTTAACCGTCTCGAGGACTCTCGCGGTGTTTAAAGGGTTCTCGAGATTTCTCGAGGTTTCCAGTGAAGTGATATTACCAGTGAAGTTAGATGAGAATGAAAGGCAATAGAAATATCTGGATTATTGGGTTAAATCTTGCTTATTTAAAACGGACGGTTGACTATATCAGAGAGGAACTTTGTAAAGGCCAGGTATATCATATACAAAGGGGAGGGCATCTTAAAACAACCCAACTGGAAACAGATTATAAAAAAATTAAATGTTTAATATCATTTAAACAAATTTTATATATACACAATATCTCAGGATCAATGAAACATTGTGATTACAACTACCAAACTCCAGAAAAGTTGCTGAAGACATAAATATCAAATAAGCATACATTTAAAAATTCCTATTGTAATTGTAAATAAAATACTTTTTTTGGGCGAAATTTGGATACTTTTCAAGATTGTTTTTATCATGTCGAGAGATCAAATATTAAAAAGGAAATCGGGCAACATCACCCAACCTAATCAAAAATAACCTAATGTAACCCAAAATAAAACAAATTTAACATAGTAGCTTAAGCTAACCTAAAACAATCCAGTCCAATCTGAACTAAAGAAATAATCTAAATTAAAATAAAACAAACTCAACATAGAAGCTAAAGCTAACCTAACACAATCCAGTCCAATCTGAACTACACAAACTAATCTAAATTAATATATACTGAAAACATTCAATACTTTATCCATAAGATTACCTTTTGGAACCGGATTGAGAATTCTTGCTTAAAAGATGTCATCGTTGATGGTATATCGCCCATAACCAAATTGACGCTGACCGAAGAGACGTTTAGAGCTGTTGAGTTCGTATCGTAAAATACGATGTATGATGCCTGCAATAAGAAGTCGCAAATTATACATTATAGGTCGTTAAAATTAAAGCAAATAAAACTCTTTATAAGAGCTAGATCTTTTTGTAGATCTGGGATATCTGTTCTCTCCTAAAGTATAGAAAAATAGTCACCTGATTATAAATAATTATATTTCCTAAAACTCAACAATTCGACCAAGAAATTTTTTTTTCTTAAAGTTTCAAGCATATTAAAATTGGATTTGTGTGACACTTAGTGATGGGAAAAAGTAAATCCCAGGGGGAAAAATTAGATGGTAGATAGAAATTCAGAAAATGGTTTTTTGAGATAAGTCACATGAGAAAAAAACGCCTGCCAAAAAGGATAATAACGATAAAAATTAATGTTTTGTATAAATGTTTAAGGCAAGAAACATCAAATGTGAAACCTGGTAAGGGTCCAGGAGAGTCCTGTTCTGCACACTAAAGCAAATTATACGTTTACTGCTTTAAATCCAAAATATCTTATTGTTCTTCATTCCATTTTTGACTTCAAAAAAAGAAAAACCTCTGCACTTTTTACTAAATCAAGCCAAGTAATATTAAATGTGACATTTTGAGTAAGAAAATTCACTGTGTAGTTAACTATGGGAAAGAGCCGTGTCATATACGAGAATTGAGGTCCTTGGGCTACAACGATTACAAGCCCCACCCCCAAATGCAAAGGATCCTTTACTCTTTGATTAATTGCAGAAAAATCACTCACTTTCAACAGGACGTTCTGGCAAACATTACTAGTGAAGTTGTAAGACGGTTTCGAAGGAGCAACAAATGAACAATTTCCTTGCACCCCAGAGGTTGTTTGGCAAACAATAGGCTGTTGCAATGACGCTGACACAAGCAAAGGGTCGTTGTATGATACCAAGGTATATATGGTTCTCGTTGTGGCCTTTGTGGTTGTTCCAGTGGAGTTTGCTACAGGACTGGGAGACGGGAATACTGATGATGCGGTTCTGTTTACTGAAATACCGGCATTGGTTGCAACCGGTGTCGGTTGAATGATGCTTGTTGTGATAGTTACGTTCTCTTGTATATACAAAACCCTTTCTGCAAGGAAGGACGGTCCCTGAAAGGTTTAAAGGTTTTGTTTCAGCAATGAAAAAAGGAGTATATTGATATTCTTAACAATAACAGAAGTATAAAATCTGGAAATAAGTTTTAGTACTGGACCAATCTGTAAAGGAGCGAAGGGTGATTGAATCATTGGAAACAAATTGAATGTAAGATTATGACAAATTATTAGTGATAAATGACAAGAGAAGAGAGAAACCGGCCTAACTTTAGTCAAAATTTATGTACGCAACTTGCAGCAGAATAAACACTTCGAATGAGAGTTACATTTAATTATTTCCATCCTAGTGAGAAAGAGCTGAAGTACTCAAAGGAGGATAGTCTGGGTAAGTAGAAAGAATCTAAGAAAAAAATAGTAACACTGGTATCCAGAAAAATGTCAGTTGAAACGTTTCATATTTCATTTGATCAACATGTTATCATGTTAAAATTTAGGACTCAATACCCACTTTAAAATGCACATAGATAAATGCGATCAGTCCATTTTGTAACAACAAGTTAAAAATTAAGATATGTGGCGTAATAGCAGAAAGGTCATTGAAACTTCTGGATAGGAAAAGCCTCTCAGTCTTCAAAAATAGAATTTCAAACTACCTTTCATAGCTAAGCATAAAGGAAAATAACGAGATTTGAACAATAAATGTGCGGAATTGTCTAGTTTCCATACTGCTCGACCTGATAGTCATAAAGGGTTAGAGTTAGGGTTAGGGTTAGGGTTAGGGTTAGGGTTAGGGTTAGGGTTGGGCTTAGGGTTAGTGTTAGGTTTAGTGTTAGATTTAGTGTTAGGGTTAGGTTTAGGGTAAACTAATTACGTCATCAGGTCGAGCAGTATGAAAACTAGACAACTCCTAAATGTGCTGCAAAAAGGCGAAAGAGCCTCGCATTTTGCAGTTTTACATGGAGTTGTCCCTGTACATTTGTTTTAAATTTCTCATTAGAAGTCAGTTGAGATAAAAACAATGTTTCCTCAAATCAATAGCGTGAACAACGTCCACTATCTGATAAATTATGATCTTTTCAATATGTAGAAACTTGAACGGCTAAAATTTCTTAGGAAAACGAAGACGAGCCTTAGATTTATATTTAAACAGTGGCTATCTAAAATGATAAGAAAGACATTATTCCATTAAAAACGATTGTAATAAGACGCCTAAGAAAAAATGTTTTTCGAAAGTGCAATAAAATTCGTCACAAGAACATCGTATACAGGAAGAAACATGAAAATATTTGAACATGATCACTGGTAAAGCTGGAAATTTTGAGAAAAATTAAATGATAACAGAACGGAAAAAACTTTATCAGGAAACATAACAACAATTTATTTATTGTAAAAGAATATGCTAGAATTTTTATTTTTGTATGAAGAGTTGATTGAAATATTGCTAAATCAATAATGGGAAAGATTGCCTTGAAAAACATGTATCTTTGTCAGCAGAAATTTATATCCAGTTGTGGATCGAAAGTAAAGTGAGATGAAAAATAGCGATTTTGATTGGTTCTTTGCTTTTGGCCAATCAGCAACCGCTAATCTCTTACACAGTTGCAAAGTCAGTTGCAAAGAAAGAGGAATGCAATTTGGGCCTCAGTCAGTTCTAGGAACATTAGTCGCAAAATATGAGAATTCTTAGAAAAGCACTTACCGGAAGGAACTTGAACTGCGTGTAATAGCTCAGCGCATTAAAGCTACTGTCGCTGATGCATTGTGAAGCAAGATCTCTGATATATCTCGAGCACGCTGAGTCCTCGTTTTTCATAAACCCTTGAAAGAAGCCATAATACAAATAAAAAACAGTTGGGTTGAAACATAAAAATTAGGTATATACGAAGAATTGGGTGAGTCGCTGCCTGTTAGAGAGGAATCTTTATCTTGGGTCACATGGGAGGTAAGATAGAGTTGACGAGTTTCTTTCAACGCTGCATTTGCCCTAATTATGTTGCCATTGGCTAACCATTTGCTGCAGGAGTGGACAAAGCCAAACGACGATGTAATGGGTCCAGCTAAGGCTAGTACCCGTTTGGTGAAGCCTACATCCAAATGTAGGTGCGGCATTGGGTATTATTCAGGGGGTGAATTTGCTGATAAAAAGTAGAAAACTATCTGCATTGGAAATACTGCAAGGGTCATTAACGGAAAGTGGGAAATATCATCCATCATCCTAGGGGGCTGTAGCCTGCGCCCAGATCCAATATTCTAAGGAAGAAAGTTCCTCCTTTCTCCCTGTTATTGACTGTTACTGAAAGAACGGACATTTAAGAAAATTATACAAAATATTGGAAATTTTCGGAAAATACATTCTGCGTGAGCATGTTACACATTTCAAAAATTTAGCTCCTATGTTTGCAAATATCACGAGATGTTGCTGTTTGTAGGAAAACAAGCATTTTAAGAGAGGTTTGTCCACAAGATTTTATCCACACCAGAGATCTGACAACCTCCAAAGGTTTATTATGAAATGGATATGGGACTTACAAGTTTACAGTTCGTGAATTTCGCCACACAGAGAGAGCAATTGTTTTATTTTCTTTGATATTTTTCAAAAAGTTTCTTATTTAACAAAAGATTATTCTAAGATATTGTAGCAACCAAAGAACAAAAATTGACAGCAATTCACCAATTAACAATAATTGACAACCATTTGCATAAAAACCGCATTATTGCACTTACCAGCTGGGTTTTCATCATCACATTCTGAATTGCCAACATTAGATTTTGGAAATGCAAGGTAACCTTGAACATTGCTTTCAAAAAGGAGAATAACCGGGTCGCCATACTGAAAGAAAGCAAATCATCAAGGTTCTATCATCAAGTTGCATTTAGTATTAATTTTTTAAAGGTTTGTTTTGCTTTGGATGAGAAAAATGAGTTGTTAGCATATCACTATGATGTGATAATCCTGTAGATGTATTGTCAGAACTGTGGATAAACAGAACATAATATGATATATGATATTGAGATACATGACCAAATAATAAGATTGTATAGATTTTATTTTTGTTTAAGGTTTGTTATGCATAAATACATCAGTGCAGAGGAGAGGGTGGTCAGAGGGGTCACTGACCCAGGGGCCCATGGAAAAAGGGGCCAATAAATCCTCTCCGCAGCACTGAATACAATCACTGCCAAAAGTTTTGAAACAGTAATGTTTGTTCTTTTTTTCGAAATCAGCCACCCTATCCCAATCATTAGGTTGCTATAAAATAATAAACTACGAAGGTACTAAACAAAAATGATATACCGAACATATTAAATGAAATGAGGGAGATTCTCTATTGGCCAATCAATAACTGTGTGAATGGTATTACCTCTATTGATTTTCGCACTTTAAAGTGACAGATGGCTTAAGCCCTTTAGTATCTCCTGACTGCCTTACTATCAAAATTGCATTGGAGGAGTGAAGTGAAAGCAGTTGTATTACAAAAAAGAAAATAGGAATAAAGAAACAAGACTTGAGCTTATGGGTGATCAAGTCATTTTGGCAGGCATAGTAGATTCTTTTCTAATACATCATTTTGTCTTTCCAATTGCTGCCAAAGTACACAAATCACCATAATGGAAGCAAACATTCCTGCACAAAAACTTGCATAAAATATGTGTTTATACAAAGCCATACCTTGTATATTGAGGAAGAAACATAACTTCTTGTAGGCAAAGGTGATGGTACAAAACTGGTCTTTCCATATGTTTTAAGCAGCTCATCAAACCTAGAGACAGTTGTTGCAGTTTGTACAGTTGTGTAGAAGTTCCTTGCTGCATCTGGGAAACAGTTCAATTTTGATATTCAGTTATAAAAGAAAGGAAATTTTCCGATTTAGAAAAGAAAATTGAAACAAAGACTCCTGTAGGTGAGGGAGCAAATCCCCAAGATAGGCAGCAAAGGGGTGGATAAATAAAAATAAGAACTTTTATCAAAATACAATTAAAATTCAGCAAACAACTTGATGATATGATTCTGAACAATACCATACAATAATTCAAAGGCTTAGCTTTCCCTTTAAATGTTTATAGGCTTAGCTTTCCCTTAAGAAAAATATCTTAATAATTTTTCTAGAAGACTGACACAAAAAATTTTGTTATTTCTGGCCTTGCCCGAAAAGGAGCTTGATCAAGTGCGCCCGCCTAGAGCACACCCAAAAAGGCCTTGGAGAGCGATTTATAGAGCCCCTCAAAATGTACAAACAATATTATCACGGAGTAAACTAAATTTTTGGAATTGGTTGAATAAACTTGATCAAGCATAAACAATCTTCCCAACCGACCGCAATATAATTATTTGCGCAAGATTAACCTTAAAGAAAAATTCAGCAAATTCAACATTGGGTTTTCGATACCTTTTTTAATCTAATAACCCTCTAATAACCACCAAAGTCCAGGCCATCAAGCATATTCTCCAGCAGATTTATTCGATTTTCGAGCAAGCGTTGATATTCTGTTGAAGTATCATTTTCTGTTTTTTCTTAATAATTTAAAATCACCTTTTGCAAATCAGAGATCAGATTTCTGCCCAATTTATCACAATGCTTTTCAGTTTTCATTTGCTTTCGTGAGTAGTAGATGTTCTAGTGTGTCTTATAGAATGGATAGCATAAAAAGGGAAACAAAGTTTAATGTTCGACTTAAAGCCATGCGTTTTGATGAAGCAATATGTGGAGCTGAACATAACAGTAGTGATACTGAAAGTGATAAAAGCTCATCAAGTGATGAGCAACTCACATATCTAGAAAAATCTGGATAATTTTGAGACTTTGTTTTGTAATATTTCTATATTTATATTAACATAGTGTTTGTTGCATGTTTTGTTATTTCATATTATGATATCATATTAAAATATAAATATTCTCACAGTTATCAGTATGGATACAGAACAATCCAGATCCCGTAGCAGATGTCCTGTACTTAGCATTAGCAAATTCAATAATCTGGTTTGATACACAGACTCTGTCATCTTGACTAAAAATAAAACACAATACAAATTAGAAACATCTAAGTATCACAGCAAAATTTATTTTCATTCATAACTTCTTAAAGGTAGTTTAAGGACACCGAGAAGCTATGCTTAGGGTGCAATTCCTTGTTGATCTTTCTTGATTTGACCACACCTTGTGATTCCTTTGCCTGAAATTACAGAGAGTTGGGAACTCTCCTAAATTTATGTGAAAGTTTGGTCATGTCATGGCAATGAATCAAACTGTAGACCCTTGGGTCTATACCCTGTGACCTTAACTACTGAGCCATCCTCACACTAACAGCAAACTGGAATTTTTTGAACACTAAATTAGTGTATTAAATACAATTCTTCTCCTTGCTAGCTCATGCACAAAATAAACCATACCTTCACTGTAGAACAATTGACAATTGACAATTGAGCCCATATGAAATCCAGGATGCAGGTGCATAGACACAACAACAAAAATCTGAAGTCCTATTTGTCATTTTAAATTATTTGATTACATAAAATGAATGGTTTCGTAAAGCGCAATCAATATAAGGGGCACAATACTGATATCGTAAGATCTACAATACAAAAGGATATGAGAGGGGATGGTCAAACAGAACATAAAAAAGTTGATGGGCTTACTTCAAGTCAACATTCTTGCAAAATGTAAATGAAGATCTGTCAGCAGCTGTGCAGTCATTATCACAACAGCAATTCGGATCACATCCATTTTCAGTCAGATCACATGCACAGGCTAAGCAGAAAAGAAAACAATTTTATCTAAGGGTATTTATCTATATTCATATTGTCTAGCAGGGACAGCTGGCACCAGAAATAAACTGTGATTAGTTGAGCCAAGCACTAGCAGAATGGAGGGCTCCACCCTCTCTCCACCTACTAGCCTAATTTGGGCTTTAAGAGAAGGAAAATAAGGCAAGCTTAGATCATAGGTATAGTGGTGATTTTGATAGCCATAAAAATTACTTCAAAACTACAATTACTAATTCTTGGAAATGATGGTACCAAAGGCTTAATCCCCTATTCATTTCAGGCCAATCTAAAAACTGCATCTTAATGGCTATCAGGCCCACATATTTTCAACCACTGGTATTTGAGGTATGCTTCAAACAACAGGAAAGGAGCTGCTACAATAATCCGTTAAAGGGTTTCTAATAACAGGGCCATTGAAGAACCATAAAAGGAACAGACCTCAGAACACATGATCCTGGAGTGAGTTTATTATGAAGGCTCTAAACAATACTTTTAAAAAGACTATAATTTTACTTTCTGAAAACCTCCTCTCACAAAACACGGCCAAGGAAAATAAGTATCTTTTATTTCTTCCTCGCAAATCCATCATGGTGAATGTCTAATAAACACTGGAGCAATCTTTTAGAGAAGTCTTGGGGCACGACCTTACATCATTCTATAAGTGTAAAAGTTCTTATGTGTTAGACTTTCACAGGTTGAAAATACAGTAAAAACTTGAGAAACAACCCATTGATCAGAACCAATTTGATTCACGGTAGTTATTTGTTCATGATTTTGTTTCACAGAATCTGTGGCCAATATCTGGAAATGCGTATTAGATTGAGGAGGCTAATAACATGCCAGTAAAATACAAAGGCATTAATCCCTGTTTTCTATGACATACATCTCACATTCACTGTAGTAAAAACAAAGGCGTTAGTAGAAATGTCATTCTAATAAAGGAGATGTTAGCAAGAGCTATTGGTGACATTTTCAAAGGAAGACTGAAGGTGAAAGAATTTCAATAACAGACTATTGATGTGCAAAGCCTAGATCATGAATACAAATCAGGGTCTACAAAAACAAACAGTGAGGGCAGCTATGCCTATAGCTTTAGAAAAAACTTTTTTTAGACTAATAACACTAATAGCACCGTAAGCCACCCCTGTTGTCTAGTATCAGTGTTCATTCCTGATCTAATCAGTCCACTGAGGTATGGAAAGACTTTGTTTTCACTTTGCAAAGTGGAATCTTTAAAAACTTTTTGTAACATATACTGCATAAAGAAATTTGCCTTTTTAATTAAATATGTTTTTATGGCATATAAGCCCTGGAATTCAACTGGCTCATCATTTGTGAACCTTTGGTGTGAGGTTTACATTGGAATGCACTTTTCAATTTAAACCAGATATATCTTTCCTTCAATCCTCTGATTAATACATTTTTGCAATTTTTTAAGAGGACCGCAAATTATCGAGTCAGGGTACAATATAAAACTCATTATTTCCCAGGATGCAGACATGGTACCACCAGACTGAAAACTCTGTTTCTTGTGCAGGCAAGTTCACGTGCCTGACTGTGTGACTGCGCTCCTGAAATTGCGCACTTTTAACAAATTTGTATTGTTATTAATGTGAAATGTATTCAAATATGGACTTTGTGCAGCCAAAATGCAAAAGTGCGTGGATAAAAAATTTAAGTGTGTGGGCAATACATCGTGGTCATGCGACAAAGTTTCTAGTCTGGTGGTACCATTGAGGATGCACCATAAAATTAGCTTTGTTTAATTAAATTTTTGAAAAGTTGATGGTTCAGGCACACTTGGCATTTCCGCGTAACTTTTGGACACCTGCACAGTTGCAGGGCTGTTTACACACCCCAAGATCTTGTCAAAAGCTGCCATACTCCGCAAACTGGGTTCTTGCTATGATTTGTTCCAACAAAGCTTATAATTTTTTTGTTCACTGATTTATCATTGCATATTATTAGATTGGAAAACTGGCAAATTAAACAAATCAGGGGGAAGAACGATGAACTACTTGGAAATCTTCTGCAGGATAGAGTGTCACGGGCTCGGAACGATTTTTTGAAATTTCAGAGTGGATATTATATTTTATCATATCAGTTCGCTTCAAAAACAAGATCAGATTTGAAGTCCCACTGCAATTTTAAAGCTAAAAACAACAGGAAATTAGTTGTCAAGCATCAATACTGCATGAAATCGAATTCATTCACAGAAGTAGTTCTCCCACTAGGCGAACTAATCTTGTTTATAAATTTATTTACACTCACTTGCCGCTTGCCCTGTAGCTAGGCCAACTTTACCAAATAGAATGACATGAATCAGCAGCAGCAGTAGCAAACAAGATTTATGAAAAACCATGATGGTTTATAGGTAACTCATTCTGGTCTTTCTATTGCAATATGTCTTTGCGCTAATAAATTATATTAAATTTAACATTTCGACATTTTACTTGTTACCATGCAAAGTTGCAAACCTTCCGCGCTTTCCTCGTTTTGATAATCGCGAAAGAGAGGTAAGGTGGCTCACCTTTATAAGGTGGCCTCCCACTTTCCATAGGATGCCCAAACAAAAAAAATTGCAAAACAAAATATTTGCCTCTGGGCAGATCATAACATGTCGGCATGTACCAAACCAGCTATAGTGCTTAGGTAACCTTAAACAAAAATTTGGTATATCATAAACGTGTGCCTTGACAGTTTAAAGGGCATAGGTCTCACGGAAGAAGATACAACCCCTGTGGAAACAACAGTTTTCCGAGAATTTCTCTCGAGCGTCAAACATGGAAGTAAATGATTGTAAGGAACAATCTTTCTTAAAAATCCTATCCGATGGGAAAAGTTATTATCTCATTACGCAGTGTCCGAAACAAGGAGATGCATGCCTCAGTTTAACAGCTCTTGATGAATTGCAAGTTTGGTCAGGTCAAGGTACTAGATTGTTTCTGCTGAAATTTACGTATGCAACAATCTAAAGCCGCATTGGTGGCCAGTGTTCACATTTTAACACATCCTCTGGTATTCCGTACACATTTATCTTTGCTTTCAATAATTGTTCACACTATTGTATTGGAAAACTTTTGGCCCAAAAACTAATAACTGGAACTTTGGGGTTATACAGTATCGACCGATAAGCTCTCACTTACGGATATAGGTAGTTTATAATGTTTGTAATCTGAAAATTATATAAAAAATAATGCATTTTTTTAGTTAAAATGTTTCCTATTTATAGAAAGGTTTCTAAAACAAGGATAGTAGACAATTCTTAAGACCAAATTCGAATGTTTAAGATCATTTCCTAGATTAACAAATATGTCTTGTTTGCTTATTTTTTTTGTAGAAATCCTATCATTTAAACTGTTTTTCAGTTAAAAATCAATCGAAATTAACAATGTCAAATCTTTTTGCAAAATGTCTCTTTAGATTTTGTAGCACCAAGAGTCAAAACCTTTTCATCAATGTTAATAAAGCTACTTTTTTGACAAGAAGAGGGTACATGTTGATATGCCATTTTAAATCTTGTTAATATCCCAGGTTCTCTCTTTGTTTGCATTTTGGTACCTTTGTCGTAACACTTTACTTGCTCTCATAGAATAAGAAAACTAGTGCCAGAAATGTATTGTCAGTTCCTAAAGTAAGCCCATTTTTTTAATTCCAGTGAATCATGAAAGTTTAAAAGACCAAGCAGTTTCTGCAGAGAAAAGTCTTTCTGACTTCCTTTCTGAGACTAAATCTGCATTTGCATTGAACAGCACCAAACGTATTGAAGAATTCTCTCTTGGCATTGAGATTGAAGACAACACTGCTGTGGTAAGTGTTGCAGTTTTAAGGCTATTGCCTTTCAGTTATCACAACTTCCTGATAATTTTTTTTCTTGCATTGATTGTAATCTTCAAATAAATCTTTTGTTTATAGATCTCATGGAAGAAAGTGCTAGATCAAGATTTGAAGGTATATCACCTGTTTTCCTTCTGATTTCTGTTAGATTGCTAGAAAATTGAGATTTGTTGGTGTTGCAGTGGGATTTCAAATTCCACTTGTCTATGAAAGCTGCGAAAAAATTAAAATTTCAGATTGGCTTTTCTGCTTATACAATGCAAATCACATTAAATTTTTGTATGCATTATTTAAAACAAAACATAACTCCTTTAGAAGCAGTAAAGGCAAGCCAGTAAATTTGAAATCTGTTTGGTTTTGTTATATCAGCTTGCTAAGCCTTTATAAGTATTTTTTGGAATCAGCCAAGCATTATATATTTGCTGATTTTAAACTGTAAACCTGATATTTTCAGGACAATGGAGATCCTTCCAAATTTACTGCCTACTTTAGTAAAGGCAACATCTATTTTCACAGTTCAAGCTTGGTACAGCAAAGTTACAAAGAGACAATGGTATCAATGCAAGTGAATTTCTTGATGTAGCTGTTGGCCAGTTTATGAAAATGAAGGTAACATTTTCTGAACATGTCATAAAAACACTGTCTAGTATATTCTTGGTATTGTATAAAGATATAGACTTTGTACCAATAGCTGCTTCCTTAACTTTCATCTACTTTGATGTTTATCATAATTCCTATGAGACTAGTAGTGATCAAAATATGATTATGATTGTGGCCGATCTATTGATTGACTTATTAATTTTTTGAATAGACAGTTCGTTACTGACATTTGAATTCATTGAAATAATTTTCATTTTTTCTAGGATGAAATTATTGACTTGTCTTCTACAAAAGAAAAACTGCTAAGAGAAAGAGAGAAAACTTTGAAGGTTTCCGTTTTTATATTCTATAAAAATGTATAAACTTATCAAAGAGTAATGAATGTCCTTATGAAGATTAACTTCAAATCCAATTGATTCTTAATGAATTCTGAAATTTGTATTCTTTCTTAGAGGCTGGAAGGATTTGTTCATGCAAAAAACGAAATTGAGAAAAGTTTGTATGAAAAAGTAAGTATGGAGAAAAGAAATTTAAAGATAATGATATATAGACATTCATATTTGGTAGAAAATTAATCAGCTTAAGTCTCTGTAGGGCGGGGTTGGAATCTCTTTAGCACATAGGGCAAAACCAAGGTGTTTTAACTGAAAAATGTAAAAAAGCAAGAATTGTGCCTTTTCCAACAGGTTGGGGCCCTAGATGTAATTTCTATCTGCAAATTTGTATTAGTTCATATTATATATGTAACTATAGTTTTTTTAAATCTTCCTTGTTATAGTTATGAATAGCATTACAAATTTAATTATTTATGAATTTACATTGTTATAGAGAACCTTAAACTTTTTTGCAGTTTGCTTTAGTTTTAAATGCAAAGAAAGCAAAAATTAGAGAGCTGAAGGAAAAATGTATGTCCTCTTTCTACTTTTTTAAAAGCATTATCTTTTTGAACTTGTGATTTGAATTGATTGCCACTTGGAAAATACATTATTTTTGTCACACTGCTAAAAGTAAAATTAGTTTACTGGTCATAAACACATAAAGTAATAAGCATGGTAGAGCAGTTTAATTTCATTTTTTTAAAAGTGACATCAAATGATACCAATTTGTTTTGGAATACAATGATTACATAACACTAATTATTGATTAATTATTGATGTATTAATGATAACATACATTATCCACAGGTGAAGAATTGGAAAACAGTCATAAAAATTCACAAGTAGGTGAGTGAAATCACTATACCTTGTTTCTATGAAGCAAGTGTCAAATCATGACATTTGGTTTTTAAAGTTAGTGTGGTAGAATAATTTGATTCAATTTTTTCATTCAAATGAAGTCAAACAACTCATTCTAAAATTTTTTCCATTTTGCAGGTCGAGGAAATACAACAACAAGTAAAAGATCTGCAAGGTATGTAAATGTTACTTTGCTGAGTGGCTGTTTGAAGACACTGGGGGAATATTATTTTACTTTTTTTTATACAATATAAAAATTTTACAAAAACAAGTACTTAAGACTATACTTTACAAACTACTTTACTACATAACAAGGACAATGGCCCTGGGAAGCAAGAACCCATGACTATCCCAAGGGTCATTACATAAAACACTAAACTAACTTACTGACAAATATGATTAAATACGATTAAATACGATTAGATACGATTAGATACGGATCCATACTAGGATCTGTTTCACATTGGATGCCAGGCCAGCACAGGCGACAGTGCTGGGACATATAGGCCCCGGTAAGGAGAGCACCATCCGACAACCACAGTCGCCGCAACTGTCCTCCCTCAAAAGCCCCCACCACCCAAAAACCCCACATCTGTGCTGTCACAATATTACGGATATTACGGATTTACTTATCTGTTATTAGGAGCATAAGATCTGTTATTAAGAACATTAGAATTGTTAACCGTGTTCTAGCATTTTCAACCTTCTATGTCACTATGATCAGAAACAAAGACAAAATCTGGATTTTCCTGCCTGGCTGCTTGAAATTTAAGCCAAATTGTCAAATCTCTTGTGTTTCAGCAGTCTCCAGCATTCTTATTTTTAGTTGGTAATGTTAAGGAAGAAGGAAAAGCATTCAAAATTTTACAAGATAGATATCGGGGGGAGGGGGGAGGAGTTGTGGGACAAAGTTAGTGAATTTTGCAAAGAGACTTTAAAAGGCTGAGCACTAGATAAGTATCTGGTAATATATACATGTCTCAGAGCACAGGGTTTATCTCTCTGATCTCCTGAGAGCAACATTTGTGGATCTGTAGAAAATTGAGGGATCAGAGACTTCATGGTGGAATAAAATGATGAAATAACAATTGTGCAAAACAATAGATCTCCAGCACTTTAAACCTAAGAAACATGACTAAAGTTATTTTAATATTTTTATAACTATTTTTTAAAGTGACAACTTTGATGAAACAACAGACGAAGAGCAAGAAAAGGTTAGCTTGGAAAATTGTCTTTTAAAAAATATTTTTGTATTATGCCTTTATTGGTCAATGGTTTTCTTTTTCGGCCAATGGTTTTAACTTTAGGCATTTCTCTGCTGTGTTTGATTTAAAAATTGCGTTTAAATTATTTGACCTTCCTCGCAATCATCCAATTATATATTCGTGTAGAGATTCATTGTACAATCCCTGACTGATTGTACAACCTAGTCCAATACACATAAATCTTGAATCCTCAAATACTTGGCGAAAAGCAAATAAGGCTATAAGGCTGGCTTTTAGAAATGAAACAAAGTTGAATGTGAAATGTTTTGACAGAAATTATTGTCCCAGTGTTAAAATGTTATCTCTAATTGTGTCAGTAGATTAGAAAAAATATTCTTTGCCAGTAGACATAAACTCTAAACTTGAGTCACAGAAACCCAGAGAAACTGAAGGTTCTTAAAGAGGTTATTCTATCTAAAGGATCAACTTTTCATTGCTTTAGCTTGTTTTGATTTCAATAAGAACATAAAATTTTTAAAATATTTCTAAATAAATGAAAAATGACCAAAATTTCAATTCTAATTGAAGGATGAGGTGACAAAAACATTGAAAGAGGATAAATTGCCTGCCTTGTTTGACGATATTGATATTGAAGAGGCTGCACCACCACCAGCAAAAAGGTACATAGTTTATTAGCTGTATATCAAATTTAGTCACATCAACATCAAACTGAAACTGAGATTTTAATTTTGTTTTCAACCCATGGTGTGCTTAGTAGCTTGTGGCAATTTATGTGGCTTGCTTTATTTAACATGAATTTTAAGCAGTTTGCAGTTTTAATGGGTGTGAATTGCCTGTATTTGCTGACAGTTATTTTAATACCTAATAAGGGTTATGAAGAAAGACTCTTGGTTGTCAGAGATAAACAGAAATCGTGCAGAAGATATAAAATTGCAAAAAAATTAACAGTATGGATACAATTATATGTTTATCTTGACCGGCAATTTTGACCATCTGTATTAATTTTTTATGGTTTATAGCTCTTAGTCCCCCTACAAAAAGCTTCCAACTCAATGAATGAAATTCATACATATTGAAACAGAAACAAACAGTTTTAAGCCCCTTTATCATTAAATTTGATTCTAGTGCTGGTGTCATTTTCTAAAGTTTTGGTATTGAAAGTAAATATTATGGTAAATGCTTTCCTACATTAAAGGAAAACCAGAGGCCGACATCAAAGAGACAATAAACCTGCAAGAGTGCCGAGGAAGATTTCTCTACCCAGGGCAGTGACAAAGGAATCACTGAATCTTGAACGAAGGTATGTCTTTCTTTAAATTTCAATGCAAAATTAGTGGTGCAAATCTTGATTTGTTTTTTCCTGGAAAAAGATGTTATGGAGCCAGTGCAATTTAAGATTAAGAAAAAGAAAATTTGGAACACTGCAGTGCACTAAGGTTTAGTGATAAACAAAATCTTATCTGCTGACATTTCACTGGGGCAAACAGTTTGACCTAAAATCTAATTTATAATAGATTTAGAAGCTAGATTTTCATAGAAAAAACATAACATTTTATTAATTAATACACAAGTTAATCATGTATTGTATAGATTTAGGCACAACTTAGATTATTTTTCAAACATAGCCAGAAACTAGACAGACCATCCTTGTACTCTGTAAATCAAACCATGACCCTATCGACAAATATATATTAACTGATTTTTAATTTTTGTTTTGAACTTCTTAAATGTTTTTGTCCACTAGCACAGCACTGAATGGTATCTTTTTTTCATTCAAACAGATCCTCAAGACAATCTTCAAACCTAGAGAGCTCATCTGATGATTTTGACAAGCTTGTTAATATGATGTAAGCCAGAATCATACGCAGAAACAAAGGGACTGGAAAACAATGTTCTGACAAAATAGCTCTTTCTGTGTGGAATAAAAATTCTAAGAAGAAAGCATATTACAGCTATTGATGAATTTAGGACTAGTGTGTTTAAAATTTTAAATACTAAAAGGTATTTATATTTCTCCATGCCTTCTTGTATCTTTTATCAATATAGCTGTCTTTCTTGACATTTCCTGCTTTTGTTTTTAAAAATTTTGAAATTTTGAAAATGGAAGATAAGGTAGTTTTTTCTAAAGAGGATCTCTAGAGAAAAATAGAAGGAAAATTCTGGACCTAAAGCAAATGTAAATACTACTTGATGTTCCCTCTTACTAATAAGAGAGTAACAATAATACACAAATGTTTTGATGCTACAGTCATAGTCAGCCAACGAGGGATGTGAGCTACATTCCACCACATCTTGGTGTCTAAATCAACAAATATTGTCACTACAAAAAGCAGCCATGCCAGAACTTTTGAAAAATAGAATACCTCATATCCACCATAGAGGCATATGCCAACAGCCAAAAATAAAGCAATAAATATGAAGGTAGTAATGGTTCCACCAGGTAGATGTGATGAATGAACTTTAAATTCTGTGGGGCTGTTCCAAATGATGACAGCATAGATGAATGAGTACACACCAAGTAACTGCATTCCGGTTAACAGGAGTCGCCTATGTCGCTGTGTACCTCTTTCAAAGTCTGATAAACCTCCGGCTACCATCAAGTAGCAACCCATAATAGCAACATTTCGAGATATTTGACGAACCTCAAAAATGAAAAGTTCAATAAGACATAAGGTGAATCATATAACTAAAGGGCATTAAAGATTTTTGAAAGAGGGGAAGCCCAAGACCAGGTTAAAAAACCTATATGACTTTGGCTACATGCAGCTGCAAGCAACAAAACACACTATCAGCTGCAACCTGAGAGCAAATGTGTTTGAGATGCAGGCAGCAATAATCATAAAGAAACGAGTACAGCATATTGTGCATTAAGTCCAGCATAGCTGCAAGCATATGCAAGTTGTCCAGCCTGAGCCATAGAGTTTGGCTATCAGTTAGTAACAAAATCATTTACTGAATGTTAGGGCAGGGTCTCCCAGTGCAATGACAAGCCCTTTGACAGCTTAGACAGAACATATCCCCTCTCAATACATTCATTTAGGGGGACTCACATGCTAAAACAAGTTTGGTTAAAATTGTATTTTTTGTGGCAAGTAAATTTTTCAAAACGTATGTAAAGTACAATTGTCTTCAGCAAATTAAGAATTTGGGCCTCTAGAATGTTTTCACGTAGATTGCAAGATTGCGTCTACGCCTTAATTTGCAATTTTATTTACAAAACTTCTCAACTTTTTAAAGAAACAATACGGGGTTCGAGCCCCTTTTTAAATATAAGCTTAAAGGTTATTTCAAAGTAGCCGGTTCGATATGACCCAGACACAACCATGAATGCTAAAAATAGGTCCTAGCAGACTCTCGTCAGGTGCTATTAATTGTTGCAAACCTTATCACTTTTTCAATCTGAAAATGAAAAACAGTCTGTATTTTGAGTTAACAATATTGAATACTTACAAGAAGAGTTTCCCTTTTGCTTTTATCCAAGTAATCTTCGACTGATGTCACAGCATATTGTGCGACAGTTAACAATGCAAAAAATCTCTTTGTTCCAAATAGATTGAAAGACATTGCAGTTGCCGCAAAGAAGAACATCCCTATGTGGCCGTATGACATGGTCAATTTATTCCGGTCCACAGATAGCGATGTCTTGAGCGATTCACCAGTGCTCAACATAAGTAAAATTGCTGATGCATAAGGAAATCTTGCTAAAATAAAGGCTGCAGAAACATATACTGCCTCTAAAACCTTTTTCTTCACATCAACGGAGACTCCTTCGTATTCCGCCATCTTGCCGCTCGATTGACAGTACAAAGACGTTGTTGTTGTTGTCATAAAGGGAGAGGTGGGGGTAACAAGAAAGCTTTGTTCTATTCAAGAAAGCTTTGCTCGTGTCTATTGCTGAAAATCAATTAATTCAGGGGAAGGGGCCCATGAGCTTTTAAGTTAAAAATAAAAAATCATAACCATAGTGTATGCACGTGTGTCTCTGGCCTGAAAATATTTTTCAACGTGTCAAGTAGGTGATGAGGGGCAATTCACTCTTGCAAATAGCGTACGAGATTTTCTTTAAAACAAAAGGATTTCCAGAGATTTTCAGTTAAACCAATAGGATTTTCACAAAAGGTGTAGGAGATTTTCAAGGGTGATTTGCTCTCGGTGGGTGAAGTTCTGAGAAATACTGGATGAAAATTTTCGGGTAGCATTTGTGTGTAGTTCAAAATCTACCCTCTCTCTTCACTTAAAGTTGATGACAAAAGAGATATCAACATGAGATGATTTTATAGTTTGATGCCAATTGATGTTAAATTGTGCACGCAACAGCCTTGAATTATCGAGAGAAGTACACGACAAGGTCTTTCCTTGCCTCAATTGTTTTATTTTCATACTCTTTCTTATAACAAAGGGTATGCTGGAAACTGTGTCAAATGAAAGTTTCTTCAATCGAAAAGAAACCCCACGAAATGTTGTTGCCTTGAAATGATTATTACTCAATTTTATGGCCTTTGTGGTATTTTCTTTCAGATGCAGTCATCTGGCTAATGTTTGCATAATTTTGCTTGTTTAATTGTGGCTTATTAGAAAAAGCAAACATAAAACTTTTAACATGAAAGGTTTTACTGACTACAGTGGCGTTGTCACGGTAGTCCACCCCGGTTTTCCCAGAAGTCAATTTTCTAGTTTCTAAAAATCCGTTTAAAAACCTGGGGGGGGGGAGTTGGGCTGATCAGATTGATTTAGATTTTTGCACTGGCAAAAAAACGACCGTTACAAAAAATGCTGCTTGAGTAAGTTGCTTTTCCAAAATTTGAAAAATGCTAAAAAAAGGATTTTCTAAGAGTATGAAGTCGAGAGAATATGTTTTTGTCCTCCCAATTTTTTGAAGCTGGCAACGCCGCTGACTGACTAGGTAAGCTATGTGACTAGATATAGCCACAGAACCTCAAATCTTAGAACAAAAGTGTATGGTATACATGGTGTAAAATAGCACTAACGATAAGAATTAAAATATGTAGCGATTATTATAAATCAGCAAGTATATGCCATAGCCTAGTTTTAATGCACTTGTGCTAACTCCAACCCTGCTTTTAATTCTGAGTTAAGGTTTACGAGTTTTGAGTCATATCTGACGAGATTAAATGAGTCAACGTTATTGTTAAATTTCTTAAAGTTAGTGTTTTTGTGGCTTCGAAGAAAGTGGTGGAAAAACTACTATAAAATCTATCCAATTTGTCTAGAGCCCCGCCTGCCCTCAACCCAATAAGTATTCCGGCGTCCCTGTTATAAGACTTGATTAAACCTTTAGAGTTTTTGGACGAAACAGCTTTCAGACAAAACCAGATTTCTGACGAGATTGTTTGATTCTCGATTTTAATTTTAAACTTTGCATAGAATTTTATATAGGATCTTAAAAAAATTTCTTATTAATGTTGTATGATCAAGTTATACGAATTGTCAAAACTACACCATCTAGAAAGGCATGGATTTAGAACTTTGCAAGTCAGTTCGAAAAAAAAGCTGCTTATTGCTGTTTAGCAGAAATCTGTTTTTGAAAGATTGCTTCTCTTCTTTAAAGAAATAAATCGCTTTCTTTTTTGTTTATGGAAGACTTGGTGTTACGTTGTCAATGTACGAATGTAAAATTACACCGTGCATGTCAAAAGAGCGGTGAAACAACGACTTAATTGACGATTTTCCACTTTTGCTTATTTTATATAATCAGGATGCATATATAATGAACAGAAACTTCATTTTGATGAATTGCTTATCGACTGCTGGGTCACACAGCCATTGATCCTGCAACTTGACTGGGTCACCTTTGCGAGGACTTCATAAGGATGTAAATTATTCAGAGGGCACTATTTGAAATTGCGGTCAGGGCATTAGTTTTTCAAGTACGGTTCTTAATAGACGTTCAACAGAGAGTGGTACCGAAGACGATTCTGTTTACAGATTAATTCGCCCTACCTCATTTAACCAAGACTCGGATACAAGCTTAGAAAAACCATCTTGAAAACCCCGATGCGCACATATCGTACTCACAAGGAATAAACCGATTTCGCAAACGAAGAGTTTTAGCCACATTGAGCAGCAAAGTGCATCATATTTACTGTGATCGGATTGCAGATAGATTAAACTGAGGTAAGGAACATCAGTAAAATGTTTAATACCATAACACTGAATGATTATCTCGATACCAAATGATTTAACCGTGGTACATTCTAGCATTCTTTCAGTATTTACTGTTTTAAGTTGTACTTATACGTTTCTGCAAGATGACCTAATATTTTACGCAAGAGAATGAGAAGAGTCTTGTACCACCAAGAAGAAATACAGAAAAGAAGCTTCCAGGGTAGGTTTGCGAAACTTTCAAAAGCGTCTTGTAAAGAATCGGAATATCCGCACTTTATGCGTAACTTTCTTGAAGAAAGGGCGACAGAGCACGAATTGAGAATACGGGAGCGCAAAAACTGTTAGGCTAACAGTTTCACTTTAGTTTCCGCTTCATTGTCCACTTGGAGCCTTTTTATCATACATATTGCTAAGTTTAACAACTATAGAAAAAATGACTAAAGTTTATATTAACAATATGATAACTAGTGACAGTCTAATGAAAAGTCACACACAACAAAATAGGAATATTCTTATCTTTTTTAAATAACTTTTTTCTAAACATTTAATAACATAGAGGTCAATATTTTTACCGCACACTCGATCTTTTTTGTAGTAAATAAACGAATTTAGTCACTTTATCAAATTGGCTGAAAAAGTTACCATGGTTAGCATTATCAGAAAGAAACATGCTTAAACAATTTTTAAGTGGAAATTTGTCAAAAAGTCCAAAAACTATGGATGTTGGATCTAAAATTAAAGATGCTTGCAGTTCCTTTATTGAAACTATCAAATCTCAAGAAGGCAATTTAAAATTACTAAAGAGGAAGTTATCGATCAATTCAAGACACGTGCAAAGCAAACTAATGAATTTGGGAGATTTTAACTCATAATTCGTGGCCTTGATGTTTGGATAAATAATGCAAATAAATCGAATTCAGTAAGAATGGTTGCAGACACTTGTCTATAACGTGTCCAAACACCTTTGGATCTCGTTATGTCTTTGTCTCAAAAAACTGTTTACAAAGCTTTTAAGTGAAAATTGAAAAAATAATACATTCAATGAGAAATGTATCGTCGTTGTTTTCTCTTGATTTATGCCTATATACAGTAGCTTTTCTTTAGGAATCATCTTGAGACATTCTTGAAAACACGGGTATTCGTGCCCAAAGCCCAGACCAGTCTTGGTTAACAAACAAGCGAATCAATTCTCAAACAAACAGATAATATACAAATGATAAATGTTTATCGAAGAATTTAAAACTTGAATGCCGCAGCTCTGATTTATATTTTTAGGAAAAGGCCTTTTCTTTTGTTTCCTGAGATTATGTATTAACTTAAGAAATCTTTAAACTTTGTCATATGCCTAGCCAGCTAACTGCGCTTTGGTGAAACACGACACCCTTTCGCTTGCCTCGTTTGACATTTTGTCAGGACAAGAGATGATCCTTAATTGATTCTTTCCAGAAATTGTTTTTTTTCAATTTTGTCAGAAATTTCAACTTACTTGGAAAGCTTGAAGTAGGTTCTGTATCGATCACCCTCTCTCGTAACATCTTGTCTCCCTGAATTGGTGATAACCTAATGAAAAGGAAGTTTACATTCACACTTAGAAACAGTCTCTCATTAGGTGAAGATTATACTCCATGAGGGTGCTATCTGACGAATTTTTTTCTGTATAAAGCAACGGCTCAAAACATTCGATTGTACCAGATAAAAAAATCAAGGTTTGCTAGAATTCACTTAATCGTTTCAACGTAAAACTGGTCTTTTTATCCGAACAAGATAATTAATATTTAAAAAGCAGCCGTTTCATAAGTATCGTTTAAAAATAAACACGACACCCAGCTGCCATCAGAAATCGAGAGAAACTCTGAATATAGCTAGAATAGCAGCAAGGAAATAAAAACAGAGGAGAAAAGCCTATATTATTCCAATCAAAAATCTGAACCAAAACGGGGCTAGGCTTGTTGTCATAGTAATATATTAGAAATGGCGGGTGATCATTTGGCTCAGCTTGAACAAGATTTTCAAACTCCAAAATGTGAAACCACTGTTAAATCTTTAAGGTAAAGTTTCCTTGAACTTTGAATCATTTGAAGGAAAAGCTATTAAAATTCATTCGATGTGGTTTGACTGTATTTGTAATTAGGTTTTGTAGGTTTGCTAACATGTATTCGCGATTATACACCACGCAGGTAGATTTCTGGAAGAATCTTACAAGGTAGACGCTGAGTTTAATTGGAAGTTTGAAAAAATCTAGAATACTAGCCTCTGATTTTATTACCTTTAGGTTTTAGTGAGAGGTTTAACTGGCCACCGAGTAATGCAATGTCTGCTCCAGAGAAGCCAGACCCACCAATTGTTGGAAAAGTAACACACAGCTCAATTGAGCTTTATTGGGGCACTTACCGAAAAGATCCAGAACATGTTGGTCTTCCAGCAACTCGGCTAGACAATCGTCTGCACTATGTCGTACAGGAGGAAGAAGTTAGTTCAGGTCAACGCAGCTATGGAACAGTTTATAGTGGATTCTCATCTAGGCATGTGTTTGAAGGTCTTGAGCCAAAAACATCGTATAGATATAGACTGAGAGCTGCAAATGACAACGGTGCTAGTCCGTGGAGTGCTGCTATTGAAGTGACAACGACAAAAAAGCCACCATCCAGTGAAGATCTTCACAAGGCAACAAACAGAAACGATATTGAAGCTGTTGAAAGATTGATCAAGGGTAAATTTAAATTTTGATGATATTGATTTTTTCAAAATATACAAGCAGCTTATTTGTGTTGAATTTTTCCAACTGGGATCTCAGAGCACTTCAAGCTTAGACCCACTAAAGTTTCAATGGTACCAGCTGTGTGCTGATCAAGCAGTCAGTTTGGATTTGAAAATGTGTAACTAGAGTTGGTCCACTGATTCAGGCTATTTCATGAGGAAATTTCCAGAGAGTAATGGACTGCCCATATGGCTTACCTCACAAGGTGAAGCTCTCAAGGTTGATCACTTTTCCAGATAAAGTAAATACCTTAAACAAAATACAGAAAGCTCTTAACTTCTCAAGTAGCATGTAAGACTCACAGTAGCATTCACATTGCTCCTTGCTCATTTTGGCTACAGTTTTACTCTCATCACCATTTTGAAAACACTTTCAGTCTATAGAGGTTTTTAAATTCAAACACTGTAGTTTATGTATTTTTTCTGATCATTATTTTGTTGCAATTAAAGTTTGGGAGAGTGGATTTTCAATCCCTCTAAGGTAAAATCTCAATTTGTTTCCAGGTTTTTTGTCTGTTCCAAATCAGTTTAAGGATAACATTTTCTCTCTGAATATAAGATTAGCAAATGACTTGCAAAGATTTTCCTCTAATCCAGAGGCACCATCACTCCACTAAAAAGTTCAAGGTTGACCGCATAAAGGCTTTTAGACTGCTACTTTGCACAAAGCAGATTATCAAAACAGCAGTTAGTTGAAAATCACCCAGACATCTGTCTTACCAAAAAGGAAATAAATTCTTCCCCAAATTTATACAGCATGGTTCACAAGGTTGCTTTCTTCTTCATGTTTATCCCCTTTATGGTATTTTTGTAGTTGCATGTTTTTATAATGCATCTTACCAATATGAAGGATGAGAATCTTTCCAATGCTAAAATGCACATAAAAACTTAATCCATTAGCAAGATTGTACAGGTAAATAGCAATTCATGTAAATTATTTATTAGCCCTTTCATTCACATGTATCACATGTATAGATTGTTTCTGGATGAAAGCAACAAGAAAGATGAAACAAAATTTTCAAACATAATCATCCGTAGTTGAAATGTAGCTTTATTTGGTAGTTATACAAATTTAGCAATCATTGAGATTTGGGAAAAATTTGAATAAATTTCGGCAGTAAAAAATTTAATAATGTCTTTGAAAAAAGCAAGCATTTTGAAACATACAAAAAGCTTTTTCCTCTCACAATTCTCTGGATATAAAGCATTAGAATAAGGCCCTGAAAGAAAGGATGGAAAATATACCCATTTATTAATAAAAATTGGCAAATCAGAAAAAAAGCAAACATGTAGTTCAGTTCCAAAACTGTTTGATGAAAAAACAATTGGGCTCTGCCGATTGGAAATTTTTTTTCATGTTTTTCAATGGATCACTGTACAACTATCTTTGATTCTATTTTGCAATGTTGGACTTCATGTTTCACACTGTTCTAAATTGATGTTTATTGTCTCATTTCTTTTTGATAATTTATGTTTTTCTGCCTTAGAATTGAATAAAGAACTTATAAATGCACCAGACAAGTATGGTTATTCTCCTTTGATGATAGCTGGTAAGTTCCTTCAAGTACCTACAAGAAGACATATCAAAATTTTCCATTGGCTTTAGATTATTCAAAAGGGGATCATATTTTTCTCGAGGAAATTTCCAACCCCCCACTCTTGTTAGGACGCCCTCTAAAATTTTCAATTTTTGTAGGAAGGCCCTTCAAAAAGGGTGAACAACTGAGGTTGAGTTGGTTGATAAAAGTAGTAGGACATTATTGTTCCGTTCTGTTTTTAAACTATCATCTTGATGTTTGACGTTTTCCTCTAACACTGCTTAGTACTATTTTACACCAATTTTTTCACCCCACCCCCCTGCTTATTTCGACCCCCTCCCCCGCTTATTGGATTTTAAGAAATTTTTGAACCCCCCCTTGCTTATTAGAACCCCCGCTTATTCGGGATCAATGGATAGTTGAAATTGCATTATCATTTCCAACATCGCTGTTCAGTTTTTAACAGCGATATTTTTGAAAACCATTATTTCAGTAGGTACAAAAATGCTAAGCTATGCTCAATCTCAAGTATCTTAGAAAATAAGCTGACAGAACTTTCTAAAACATTGTCATTGTTTTTGTATTGTTTTGTTTTGTTCGCCTCTAGCGTCTGAAAGTAGTTTTACAATGCCTGCCAAAAGTCTTGGAACACTGACATCAATTTCCAAGGTCAAAACCAATCCCCCTCTCCCCCACGGAACAATGTTGGTTTACTATCAAACGGGTTAGGATTTTAGGAAGCACTTTCTTTTGCGCTTCTTTTATGATATTTCTCTAAATCATTAACATTGTTTTAGGGGGAAGGGGGCGGACGTAGCAAATTATTTTTCATGAAAGGAATGAAAGATATCAAATGCAGCGTAAATTGGTGGGTGTTCCAAGTACTATTGGCAGGCATTGTAGGTCACTGAAAAGCTATACTTGCTGAGCATTGTTCAGGTCCTTCCTCTCTATGTGACCATACATCGTGTCATTTCGAAATTAAGCCTTTTGAAGGCAGAAATTAAAACTGTTCTATTTTACTTTCATTTCTAAGTTCAAAAGGGTCATAAGGAAATCATGGGCTTGCTGATAAAGAATCATGCAGATGTGAACTATCAAAGCAGCAGTGGCAAAACTGCCCTTATGGTTGGGTGTTACGCAGGTAACGAAGTTTGTGACGATTCTTTTGAATATGCTGCACATCTTAAGTGTAAATATATTGAAATGAGAGAAAGGATGGTGTGTTCGATTGGTAGTTTCTTTGCATTCTTCTCCACCTGGATATTAACTTCCATTGAGCTTTAGTTATTGTCCGAGTTTAATACTTCAAGTTCGCTGATTGTCGCGCGAAAACTATTCTTTAGATACGAATTATTCTCTTCTGCTTTTTCGTGCTTTTTTGTCATTTTGTGACTTAGTTGGTATCATAATTGACCTGATGTAATGTTTGTGTTTATGATTGTTATATATTGGAGTTGTCGATATAATATTTACATCAAGGTTTAGAAAGTAAGTTATCTAGAAGCAAGGAACATCAAACATTTCTAAAATATTTAAAGTAGTGACAGCGATTCTCAATGTCATATTCAACCATTGCATCATAATTTTTTTTGGGAATTGGGGGCAAATTTGTGGTTTTTTGTGAAAAGATGAGAAAAATATAAAGATGAGACACATTGCTTCGTGTCAGGCATTGTAAATCCTTGTTTCCTGATTTTTAAGACCGTTGTTAAGTTGTTCTAGCTGAACATGATTAAATGAGAAATGAGTTACAGATTCTACTATATCTATAGGAAAATTGGATGCAGCTGAAGTCCTCTATGAACACAAAGCTGATCTGGGGGCTCGCGACAAGACCGGGTCAACTGCTCTGCATTGGGCTGCTGATGGGAAGAGCTTTGAAGTCGTGCGGTGGTTGGTTAGCAAAGGAGTTGAGGTAAACAAGTTGGAACATGCTCATTCAAAGATAACTAAGCCTCTTTCGGTTAGAAGCTTATCTTAGTTCACTGGTGGCCTTAACGCGATGAAAAAGGTTGTTCAGATATTTTTAGTGCACTTCGAATACCAAGGTTGACACTAAGGAAACATATGTATTTTCAAAAATGTCTGAAAAACACCAAAGTTTTGATTACCTGCTGGATTTGGGATATATAAGAAATGTTTATGCAACTTTTTATCAATAACATGTTTGTTAGTAGCAAAAGGATATTGAAATTTTGTAGCTTCATTGTAACAGGGAAATGTGGAACAACCGTTCGTTTGGTCTATATATTCCAGAAAATGTTTTGTTAATTGTTTGATAGATTAGTGACAGAAATAGGGTTGCTCATTAATGAGCTAATTTAGACTTTCATTTAGCCACAGGATTCTATTAAATCACAATGAATTTATTTTTTCTTTTTAATTACTTTCTAAATTCTTTATACGTTACATTTTATTCAACTTTATTCTGTATATTCCACACGCCGATCCATATTGGAGGTTAATATGGGAAGAATTAAGGAAAATGGTGGGGCTAATGAAGGCAAAAATGGGGTACCCCTGTAGGCACTTTACCTCCGTTTCTAAAAAGTGAGGGGACACGTGCCCCCGGTACCCTCCTGTCTCACGTCAATGGATATAAACATAATTTCATCGCTGATTGAATCAAATGATTCCATTATTCCCATGCTGTGGATTTTCGACTAGCTTCCCTTCGTGTGTGTCTTTTCAAAAAAATGTTCTTGCTCTTTTTTTAACTATATAAGGTAATTAGAAGTCAACCAGGATATTTTAATTCTCTTCTGTTGGTCATACCTGTCAAATCTGCTTTTGAAATTCAAATTGCATTTACACTTTTATAATTAAACCCAAAATTATATAGTAGAAAAAAATCAACCGCAAATATGAGAAAATATTAAGACAATGAGGGTTTTGAAAGCCAATCAGGAAACCTAGAGCGTTTTGCAAAAATACGATTTATGTTAAATACCTTTTTTTCAAAGGAAACTAAATAATTAATTCCTGAAGCATTTTAGTCCGCCCAAAACACTAAATAGGTTATGAAATTATGGTTAGGCTTTATTTGAATGTGTATTGCAGAGAATTTTCTTAAGATGTTAAGCTCAAGCCAAAAACATTTGAACTTTAATTTTTATTCTGTGTTCGTTATTGTTTTGGCTAGTTTATTTTATTGTCTTTTCTTATCATTTTTTGTCTTTTTGAATTACTTCTTTTTAAATTACTTTTTTATTATATCTTAATGTAACATTGCAATATTTTCAATATCATTTCAATTTTTCTAATACTTATATTCTCAATTATTTCTATAAACTATAGATTTTTAAACAATTTTTGAGATTTTTGCTTATTTAAACAGTGTCTTAATTATCTAGGAACGGTATGTGGTTATAATCGGTTTTTTACACGTTTATTCATAATCGTCAACCAAAATGAGCAAAGTGATTTGGCAAAAATGCTAAGCATAGCCCAGACTAAGACTTCAAATGAAAACTTTTCTAGAGAATAAAATAAATTACAATTTTTTGGTTGAGTAAAACGGAAAAATTGCTTTAGAATAGCATACAATTTTAGATGTACTAAAATGTCGTTTGACGCTTTTCGTTTACTTACATTTTTGGGTGGCCTATTTCGATCTTCATCTGGGTAAGTGATAAATCGTTCGATTTATGTAGTGTATTTCAGCCTTGAGTCAACATTTGCGATCATTACTCTGACGTCTTAATACTCTGAAGAGTGCCAAATGAAAAGCTTTAGTTTGTCTTAGGAAGTAATTTTGTAAAATAGGTAAATAGATTTAAAAGAAGCAATTTTCTTCTGCATAAAGAAAAAGCAAGCAATGTTGAATTCAGTATCTAATATTGCAAAGTGTTAAACAACGAGAGGCTGAGCTCCAAATCCCGTGTTGTTTTTAAAAAAAATTTTTACCATCTGATGAAGCTTGAAAATGTCCGTACATGTCTAGGTTTAGTGTGTTTTTGAGAAGAGACGTTTTAGAACAGCAAAGACAGCAATGCAGTGTTATTTCTCTGTTTTCTTGTTGTTTTATGTTTTTTTTGACGAATACTTCGAATTGTTTGGAAGTAATATTTTCAATAACCTAGGTATTGATATTTTCATGTTGTGCATTTTCAGTTGGATAAAAAAGACTATACATCTGGTTGGACCCCTCTTATGAGAGTTGCCGCTACAAGTGGGGATGAAAATATTGGGAGAATTTTGATTCACCACGGATCGGATGTTAATTCTGTTGATGTTGACGGGAAGTCTGTTTTGATGATGGCGGCGTTAAATGGTCATATTGGCTTGGTGCGTTTGCTCATAAGCAAGGGAGCCAACATTAACAAGAGATCGGAGCATGGGAAAACGGCTTTGGACTTCGCAAAGTCATTTGATCATCGTCAGGTCACCTTGTTTTTGGAGGAAGAGTTGAAGAAGATAAAAGCTATAGAAAAAGAGAAGCGATTAGCCGAATCGATGAAGGAGCAAAGGAGCGGCTATGACCTCAAAGAAGCGATTAATGGTTGATTCATATGTTTAAACCAGCTGACCTTGCTCGGATTGTTTACGAATTTCACTGCAATCGTTGATTCTGTATCTAATTTCAGAACTATTTGTCTGCTGTTCATTATTGCATTTATTTTTAAATGCCCGTCCAAACAAGCTTAGCACGAGTGGAATATTAAGAATTTGCTTGAATAAAATTGCTTAAAGCATTGTAAATCCGTGATTGGTTTTTTGCATATTGCATGGACGAGAGGCATCTATAGTACACCTCGTATGCCATGTAGTGGCAGGTATAAGGCGAAGCTGAAGAATCCGATTGACCTCGTGTCATACAAGCCAAGGAGTTTTTTGACTGCATTAACGAATCACAGGTCGCCTAGGGTCAGGGAAGGCGCTCCTAAAAATATGACATCCAGCAAAACGTGAAAATTATCCGGATTCTTCATGTCTGCCCAAGTAAAAAATTAGCTTTGTATCATACGTCTGCGCTCTTAGGCCACCTCAGTCGGGCTCAGTTATCAAGAATTTTTTAATTACACAGTGGAGTCCCAAGTAGTTTGTTATGACGGAAAGGCTATTGAACTGAGGATTCTTTCAACCGGGAAACTTTGTTAATTTAATTTGTTTTACCGGTAAGATAGTTTAATGAGTGTCCATGAATTCTTGATTCCACTGTTTTTGGATAGCTTTCGAAGAAAAAGGCATGGTTTTTGCTGAGAATGCACATATAAATGGTCACTGCGCAATCCCTTCAGCTGCGATGACGAAGCATAGCTATGGTATAAAGGAAAATACCCGAATGAAGCAAGGGTATTAGAATCCATATATGCCAAAAATCTTGGGTGCCATGAGGTTACCATGGGGGTAATGGTTTTATTAACTGAACAATCGATTACCAAATTCCTTTAATTTACCTTATTTTCAAGTTATTTGTTGGCAATTATTAGGGAATTTCAGCCCTGAGCCCCTTAACAACTTTGAGGCAGGCCCGTCGGAACCGGCTTGGGGCCCCCAATAATTGTCAATCTTTAGTTGGTTTCCTTTATAACAGTGCAATAATTGAGAAGGAAAACACTGAGCAGCCCCCTCAATATAAACTTCGTTCTGACGGCACTGTGAGGTATTTGAAGTTTCGTTCATTACTTCAATGCTTTTTAAGAAAAAAAAACCAATCGGTTTTATTGATTGTTGCTTATCAGCGTCTTATCATTTAGAAAAATATCGTTTTGTTATTATTATATTCAAGATATTGCTTATTAATAAACTATGTGTAGAATCAATAACAACATTTCTAAATGCTTAAAAGCAAATGTTTATTATACACTGAAATGAAATAGCACAAGTGCATAATCAAAATTGTAACAATTCTCAAACTCGGTATCTATAATTAGAATCGTCATTTACATTATCATCATCATCATAATCACTGTTTTTTCATCCTCATAATTATCATAATTACTATGATTATTATCCCCAAAATTATCATCATCAACACCCAGCTAAAAAGTAGAATCAGATACGTAAAACAAACAGGTTCAGCAAATCTCACACCCTGCTCAAATATGTAAATGCCCCTGTGTTGTTCCATTTGAAGTCTCCTTATCAGTGTGTTCCAACAATGACTATATCGATTAAACGACAATTTTATTAGTTAGCAACTTAATATTTTGTAGTGAAGTTGGTCATGATTTTAAGTCATTTTGTTGTGGCACAATGCAAGAATGTTTTTAAATATAAAATTGAAGAAAAAAGAAAATTGTTCCTGTATAATTATTAGTTTGTCCCTGTTTATCAGTAAACTTCAGTTTACTAGTTCAGTTCAGTTAAAATATGTTTTGATCGTCGCAATTTCAATGGAATTTTAACCGAAAGAAGGTACTACACTTCTCTTCTCCTTTCCTGAAAAATCTTCCTCTACCCCAATGAAATTCTTTATCAACCAGTAGAATTTTAGAAACATTTGGCTTACTCTTTTCTTATAAGAAACTTGGATCAGCTTTTTATACTAAAAGTTTCTTAATTTGCCATCATATTTTGGCGTTTTAGTACTTAAAGTTTTTAGTTGGTTTGTTTTGACGGAACCCTAAATTGACATATTGTATTGAAGCTGAGGATTTTTGGATGAATATAGACTCAGATCGTCATGAGAAAATCCATGCAGATCAAATTTTATCTGTTAAAATATGTTTTGTTTTCTATATTCCTAATCATCAGATAGACTCTTTTCAAAAAAATTAAAATTTTACAGTTTCTTAATTTTTCTTGAGCCTAGAATAAAAGTTTCTTAAAGCTTTGGCCATTCTAGTGCTTGTTTCTGATAAACCTGTTTCTTTTTAAAAAAGAAGGCTTGAATTTTGACAAGTCATTTCGTCAGAGTCAGTGTTTGGTTGAGTAACTTTCTTGGAACAAAATTTTTGATATGGCGTGTTATGATTGGGGTCATGACTTCCCAATTGTTCGCTTGTTCGAATTAGCCAAACCAACCGTAATCTTTAAACCCCCAGCCCCCCTGTGGTATTGAGACAGCTGATCCAATTATTCTTTCTAATTTTCAAGCTCCAGAGGTTCGATTGTACCAACACCATTATTTGCACTATAAAAATTAACACATATAATTCTTATTTAACTGAAGATGAGACAAGCTCATCTTGAAAAGAAAGCTCATCTTGAAGATGAGACAAGCTCATCTATAAACAAAGAAAACAATGACACAATCTAATAAACTGGGTTCCTCTTACAAACAGTGTCTGATATGTCTAGGTTTTTGAAATGAATATTTTGCTAGACTGGAATTTGACTTTCCCGAAAGGAAGCTCAATACGTTCATCATGGAGCTGAGCTTTCCAACAGATTTTTGCAGCTCATACGTTGAAATTTACTATGACCAGTCCCTGCTTAAACATACAAGGAAAATGAAAATAAAACCCTTTATTAATAATGTCATTTTGCATCATGCATTTATGCAAGCGGAAAAACTTTGAATTTCAAGACTAACTTTTATTAGTCTCGGTTGTCAAAGGCAAGAAGTTAACACCAAGTGGCAGACTTAATCGGTCTAATATAACGACTCTTCTAAAGAAAGAAATAAGATCACTAATTTGAAGTTTTTGATCAAATGGTGATTTTACATCCTTGATATGGCATTTTAAGCTATTTTTATTTGTTCACACAAGTCAACATAAAACAGTTTTGCTCCAAAGTATTCTTTGGGATATGCAAACCCTCAATTTAATGAAAACATTTTATGGGCTATGTATATCGTGCCGTCAAAGTTTCGTGATCAAAATTTTCACTGGAATAGCTTTTAAACAAAAGTTCCATCTACGGTATCAGGACATACCATTCCTGTACAGCAATTAAAATATTGACACCAAATAAAAGAATCAAAGAAATCAAAGATGCAAATGTTTTTTGAAGTTGAATGATAAATTGGAGAATTGCAAGAAAATAATCGACCTATTTTGTTAGTGTGCGAACAAGGAACATCAGCGTACATATGAAATCGTTCAAAAGTTTCTATCTTTTACTCCTATCTCATTGTAATGCCTCTCCGTAACTTGTTCAATATGCTGTTCCTCTTGTACCAGGAAAATATCTTTTTAAAATAATTAACGACGTTTCAAGCATAGCCCGTTATCAAGTAAGATTGAAAAGCGACGATGAAACTGAAACTTGGAATATTTGTTTTGCAAAGTATTTTCGTAAACTATGTTTTACCATGTTAACTCCTTTCCCTGCAGTCAGGTCTGTATATTGGCAAGATGTAGGTTAAAATCATGCTGAAGTTCAAGAAATAGCCTCAAGGAATGCCAAGTCGCAGAACCGTTGTCAAACAATAAAATTTCCTTTTTAAGAAAAATGTTAGATCATCTGTGTAGATTAGGAACAGAAGTGGACCAAGACAGGAGCCCTTATGGACACCATATATTATATTGCCGATACTAAAGAAGCTAGAATTGGCAAAACAGGGAATGTTCAATCTGGAAAGTAAAAAGAGGTACCTCTCAAACGTTCAGGCTTAAAAATAAAACAAATATTGCCGATTTTACTATACCTTTTAGAGTAAAGCACGTTATGACTGAGTACAAAAAAGAAAACCAGACAGGTACCCATGTGCCTATTGCAATAAAGTTGATTATGTACATTATTCGAAAAAACGAGACAATACACGCATGCTTTGCTCTTGATTGGATGCTTGAAGATTAAGTGCAATGACGTCATAGACAAGAAAACTTAGCATACAAACATAGAAAGAGCCACGTATAGTCTTAACTATCTTTTTCTAACTATCGCTGCATGATTTACTGGAGTAGCTTTGAAGAAGGCATTTTTATAGAGCATTGCCAATTTTATACTCATTGGAAATGAGTGATTGGGATATTTTTGACGTGTTTTTTGTCAGTCTATTTCAATTGATACAAACATGAATTTCGATTTATTATCTTTGATCCACCGGCATCCAATGTTCAGGAATATGGAAAACGGTGTTCAAGCTTTCGTTATTGTTGATTTGGCCTTCCATTACTTTGTAATTACCCAATTATAAGATATTTCCCAAAAATACTCTTCTCTTAGCTGGATTGTTTACATGAATACGAACTTCCTTAGGATCGACATCAAATGGGCGTATCTGAGTCTCACTGCCAGGGTGTTCAACACGTCTCTTGCTTTATCAAGTTGGAGAAACTGATTATTGAACAGGACAGGTCTTAACCTGTCTGGTCAATTAAGGTGCATGTTTATAAAGCAAAAACATATTTTAACTGCTGCATTCGAATCATTAGCATTGGGCACTGTATCCTCCCAGCTTCCTTGTATTGCAGAATTTACAACTTTAAAAACCCACATTGAAAACCAAGTCAATTACTTCAAAAAAATCCCAGATGCCGATCGTGTTGAGAAACAAAAGACGTTCACGAGGGTTCCGGGCAACAGAATCCTGCAGACGTAGGATAATCTTGCACCTTAGTAACAATCGTAAGCTTGTTGATTATTAACCAGATTAGAATCAAAAAGATACGTTTCCATTTATTCTAAGAAGATAAACATTAACCTCCATACAGGTAAGTATTTTGAACTTGACAGCTGAATGAATTAAGCTTTAACTTATGATGTTACATACGAGGTTTAACAGCATTAACATTTTCTCGTTTTATCCGCTTGTGAAGTGATGGTCTTCGTTAATTCTTAGCTGTTTTCTTTACTCCAAAGCGTGTCCAAAGAGTGGTATCACAGTTTTAACAAACCATTTCTTTCATTATTGTTCAATGATTATAGATCAAGCGGAGAGATAAGCAAAGAGATGCTACTTCTGTATCATGTGTGTCTCACATCTCCCCCTTCACGACCCCGAAATATACTGAAATGCCTGAATAGACATTGGCAAAGTCTAGTGCTATTGAAGCCAGTGGCTACTATTTCCCCTTTCACCCCATCGAAAGACTCTTATCACCACAAAAGGAATAATGCAAAACCAATACTTGAGCCCCTGGATGATTTAACTATAGCCTTTGCTTAAACGCTCTGAGAAATAAGACGCTCTATTCGTATGTTAAAAAGTCAGTTTAGCTGTTTCTTAGCCAGTTAAAAGCAGCAAATGCTTTTATCCTCTGTATTTATATATGATTTTCACTTTAATTTTCGATTACCGTTCATTGTTTCTTTGAGTTATCAAAAGCAGTTTTAGATTCAGCATTGCTAATCTGACCCAGCAAATAATTAGGAGAAGGGAAAATATGATAAAAACAATCCCTATGAGGAAACGTCTTCTTTCTCTAATTCAGAGATTGAATGATACTTTTGCTTATTAAAAAGCTTACGTTACGGTGTTAAGAGAGGTTAAATGACTGTCACTTTTGTAAGACAGATAAATCGTAAAAGATCTACGAGACAGATGGAAAGATTCAGATAATTTTACTTAAAGGCCAAATTAGGACACTAGACTTACCTCTAATTGGGTAACGACCCTCTTTCATCCACATAGATCCTAAAAAAGGAAATCGTTTCTAATTGCACTTGTGCACTTTCGGTCTTACTTGATACTGTGAATAATACAACCCTCTGAACATCTCTTTTTGCGATTCTTCAGTCTCTAGAAAGTAGTTAAATGAAATAATGATTTTCTCTATTAAAGATCAATACTTTTCGATCAAAAAAGCCATGAATTGAATCAAACATGGATGTTGGAAGCATTCATGACTTTGAGCTACGACTTTAGGAAGGGCACTGATCACGGTCACCAGTCAGCAAGAAATTGACAGCAAGAATTTCAACTAAAAATTTCACTTAAACTTCGGGACGAGGTTCTTGCGCTCTTGCTCCCTGGTTTATACGTCTCTAAATCTTCACTTCCTTTAAGCTGTGCCCGATTGCTAATGCTAGAATGATCAACTAGCATTAGCGATCGCTATATTACTCAGATCTTTTGGTTTTACATTCTGCTTTACTCCTTTCTTACCATGCAGTTTTAAGTGGATTAATGTCAAAAGTATTAAGCTCATAAGCAACCCAAAATTCAAACTTTACGACAGTATTATCTCTTGTTAGGCTTGCGTCACATACCAAAACATGGACATAACCCTTTTAAAACATGATAAACGGGTGAGTTGAAAATTTCTTATCTAAAAATTCCTTCTCCTAAAGTCAGCGGCTAATATCTGACTATATGCGCCGCCAGCTTATGATAAACATCCTGGATTCAGAACTAAGATGCTTCACTTCTTCTCGGCTCGCTCATGCTCTCTTCTATTGCATCATTAGATTAAAATTGTCATATAATTCCATCAGCTAGATCATCATCCATCAAAACACTTTTCCGTTAGCAAGACAATTTGCTAATGTTTTTGTGTATATCATATGTTTCCATTAGCTAAGTGTTTCTATTGTGAATTAATGTTTCCATTATATCCACTATTGCTTTTTCTCTCATTCTGCACTCGTTTTGTAACTTACAATGTCAAAAAGGTAAAAAGTTGGCCACACCTTTAGATTAGCGCAATCTGGACCTAAATATTTTATTTCTTTGCCAGCCTTTCCTGGTTCAATGAAACAAGTAAAAGCCCTCTAGTCTCCTTGTTTTCTGGAACGATAGTTTCTTTGATACTATTCCATTTTTGTACTGACTTGGCTCAATTCTCATATATTGATGATATAAATTTCGTTATAGACTTTTTCCGTTAGCATTTTCATACGTTGTATTCAAAATTCCAGCATCATATTCCAAGAGAAAGTCTATTATTAGAATGATTCATGGGGCTGCAGGAAATCGGTAATTTACGTTTATATATCATTTTACACCCTTATATTCCAAAAACGAAAAACTATAGTCACCTCTTTATTCTCTGTACAAGAAGAGAAGACTGTTTATGTCTGATATTGTATGCAGAACCTAGAATAAAGAGAATCAAATTAGCTTCGATTTTAGATAAGCCCCAGTCACGCCCGCTACGCGAGCATGCTGCAGCCCTTTTGTCCACGAGAGTAAAACTTGTCCACGAGAGATATATCAATTGACACAAATGACCAAACACAGCTAGGGTGGCATAGGTATGTAATGCAAACCCTCACACCCTATCTGCACTCAGTACTGAAAGAAAATTAAGTGATGGCATCAAGAAATATTTGGGTGGGGAATTGTCCCCCCTTTCTTTTCCCAAAGCATGGTTTAACTTATTCCGTAAATAATGAATAAATATATATTTTTTGGTGCTTGAGTATATATTGGGGAGGGGGATTTGTTAACATTTTCAAAATTCTTACCTAAAAAAAGCAGTTTTAGAAGGTTGTAGCTCTAAAGCGATGCAAAAGGCGTTTTAGTGATGTAAGAAGTTGTGCACTTTCCGAAGGCTACGCCCATAACCCTACTACTATCTTCTTTAGCAGCTTGCTTCACCTGTGACCATATTCGTGGGAAATTACATTGAAGGTACTGGGTAGAATCTAATCTTAGTAGTATCTTTACAGAATTTAAGTGAAAATTTTCTTCAGCACTTATTGATTTCTAATGACGCCTCTTATACTTTTGCTATTTGATTTTGCGGGGTAGTGTGGGGGCGTCACAGCCCACAACTAGCATGTGGTTGAAAATGAAATATTTCAAGCAATTGGAAAGTTCCTCTGTGAGCCAGTTAATCTATAGAAGTGATTAAAGAATCCATTGCGGTTGATGAGAGCTAGTTTTAATAGTCTCTGATTCAAAATATGATTAGAAAATTGTTTGAGTAGGATTGATAAAATTTGGTAAGTTCATAACAACAATAAATTTTGCAGCAGTTTCATGCGTACTGAGCAGCATGAAATATGCCAAACAAATCTCGATGGAGAGATGATCTAAGAAAATTAAAAGGGTATTCAGGAGGTGGAGCAGATGTAAAGTTTGCAGTGTTATGCAGAAGCAATGAGCCTCTTGCAAAAATTTATCGATTACCATTGGATAACGCGACAAAAAGTTGAGTAGTTAGACTGAATGAAGTAGCCCAGTATTCTTCAATGTTGCTTTCATTGGTACATACAAATAGGGGTGCCTTTTCTCTTTGTTTTGAAGAGTTTTTGTTTTGTCAAGTATGCATGGTTTTGCAAAACAAACTCATGCTGAATTGATGGAGATGTATCTTAACATTCTTCAGCATTATGGAAAAAAGATTGGGCCCTTTGCAGGTCTACACACATTGATAAATAATGCACTGCATTGATCGTACCCTTTTAACTATTTGAAATTCTATTATAGGCTCAAAGTATACAAAGATGTATTCCAAGAAAAAATAATGTGACATCTCCTTGTTTACAACAATAGACAAAGACCCCCCTACCCCCCACCTAATGTTCCTACACAAGCTCCGTATCATACAGATGTAGCCAATTATGGAACTCAATTCCAAATGAGATAAAGTACTCCCCTACATTATCAATTTTCAAGAAAAAAATCTCAGAATTTACATCGTTTAATTGTACTTGTAATCTTTGCAAGGAATATGTTAGTAACATCGGTTATATTTGATTTATATTATATTTAGCGTTGGTAATTTAAATTAGTTGGTTTTAATTAGCTTGTATGCATAGCTAGAAATTGTACCAACTTTAAATAAAGAAAGAAAAAATAAAAAAGCTGGAAAACCTGAACCCCAGGCACCCGACACACATAAACTTGAACGTGAAAATAGAAGAGAGTAGACAAGAATAGTAGAAGCGTCTAGTCTAGGTGGAAAGATGGAAAATTTGGCTCTGGTTTAACCAATGCTCAGCCTTGTTCCAAATTTTCAGCTTAAGTTTAACCAGTAAAGCAACTTCTACTTTTTTTCGTTCCAACTGTGAGCTCCTCGACCTCTCTGTATCTTTGTTCTTCTATCTATATTTCCACATACAAATCTATTTGGCTCTTTCCCAAAGGCAGAAAACTTTTGGAGTAGATTTCCCTCTTCCTTCAAGTTGGGGGTCTGGAGCACAGTCTAGAAAATCTCTGATCTATAACGCACTTCAAACGGGAAGTTACCTTCACCCTGTTTAACCCAACGACATAACCCGCGCCACGAATTTTTAAGTGGAGGGGGGCAAGGCTAGAAATTTAGGGGGTCAAGGCTTCTTACCACTTTTATTGCAGTTTTAAAACTACTTGCTTCCCAAAATAGTGGGGGGCCATGGCCACCCAGTGGTGCGGGCCCTGAAAGGAATACTTGGTTCTGGGTTAACCGATGCGCAACCTTGTTCCAGATTTTACGTTCATCAGTTAAGTCACTTCTGCTTTTTCTTTGTTTCAGCTGTACACGCATCTGCTTCTGCTTTTCTGTTCCTCTCCTTTTTTCAATACACCAATTGTTTTGGCTCTTCTGCCAAGGATAGAAAGTCTCTCATATATAACGAACTTCAAACAGTAATTCAGAATCTCTTTTCATGCGCGTTAATCTCAGTATTATAATACGTCACGGGCAACCCTTTTAAAACCGATTTGCGACAATTACCTTTTTTATCAGGCTACACCAAACGGTAGAAGCCTGGGCACTAAATTATAAATTTATTAGCTAAGTGTACCCTTGTGTTGCAATGACGGTTCCCAGTGAGGGGCCAGCTTCTGCAGAGGAATAGGGTAATCGGCATGACCCATGAGACTACACCCCATTTTTACCCTTTATCATGAATAATACCAGGCGTATTTTCCTTCAGCAAATAAAAAAACATAACCTACCCCTACCCTATGCATTTTTCAATTTTTTAGAAAAAATATGAGGACTATGTTTTGGCAAGAGTGGGGGTAATTACACCCCAATACAACTCCTTGATGCACTACTGGAGGTTCCTATCTACACAAAGAACAGTAAATTGCTGCTATGGCAAAATCCATTGAAGGTTCAAATTGAGCATTGATGAAGAGTTCTGAAAGGGTCTTACATAATCTCAATTGAATGTTTCAAAGAGCCCCTGCAAACTATACAGGTATCGAGCAGTTCGAAGGGGTTACGGGGTGGGGTAGCTCCTTCCATCTTCATCATATCCCACTCTTTCTTCCTCCTAAGATCTTGTAATCTTTGGAATGCTCTAAACTCTTCCTGTTTTCCAGACTCTTACAACCTGTCTTTATTCAAAACGAAGGTAAACAAACTTGCTTTTTCCTCTCTCACTTCCTAATCCTTTCTCTATTCCTTTGCTAGGGCTTTAGTATAGGCTCATGAGCCTTCCCCTAACATCGTCAACTAAAAAAAATATACAGTGGCGTGGCTTTTAAGAATTTTCTATAAAACAGGCTATCCAAAAGGAAATTTCCAAGTACAGATATTCAAGGACGAACTTTAACAGAATAATATGCGACATTAATGGATAGATGAATTAACCATGAGATCTGGTTCATTCATTTTTACTTTCTTAGCGTTGAAGTAGAAATCGCTAAATGCAACAGTCCCAATTTTGCTGTTGTTTAGGAACATATTGCCTCGAGACATCGGAACATATTGGAACATATTGCCTCGATTGTTGTCTTAATAAAAAAGGAAAAGATATTTGCAGATACTTTCAAGCTTAGATATTGGTTAAGTAATAAGGTAGTTAATCCTTTTGTAGAGAATTGGATGAAAATACATTTAAGATCTCTGTTTATACATAGTTGCTATAGTACGTTTACTGTTACTAAGGCGATGAAATGAGCCTTTTGATCAAGAGATTTGAATCTTTTGGGCACAGGAGGTCGCTAATCCATATGCCACCATCGTGAACCCAAATGAGGAAAAGAATAATTAATTTTAAGTTAGCTTCCTAAAAGAAAAGTATTTGCTTGGAAAATCGTCTAGCTCTGATATTAAGTGTTTGCCAAATCCCTTAAAACATTTTGGACTAAAGGGAAACACTAATCTTAGAAGATTGGGGTTTGACCAAAAAAGGGCAAGAAGGTACGCCCTCTACGCTATATTGTTATTTATATATCCAAATCGTTCCTTCTCTATGCTGGTAAAAGGAACGAAATTGCCGTACTAAAAAGCCTCTGATTAACAAAAAGCATTTAGGGTTGAAATTTTAAACGGCTATTTTTTATGCAAAAATCTGCAATGCAAAGAAGAGAATCATGAAAATAATTTTTTAGAGTAATTTTCATTTTAAACAAAGAAAAATTTGACTAATTGGTACAAGAAGTTGTGTCGAATGCCAGAAGGACGTATCATCTATGGACGCTGATAGCTGTTTTGTACTTTTGCAAGTTTTTCTAACTTGCTGCTCATTAGTAAAATTATCATAAGCTCGAAAGCCTCAACGCCAATTATCGGATAAGACCTTTACAATGAACGATAACACAAAATAGACAGATTGATATAATAGCCTTGAACAAGTAAAATCGAATTGACGAATTGCTGCAATTATATTCTAAATGATTTTAAACTGTTTATGTGTATTTTCTGACCATGCGTGTGATAGTGATGGCAAGAACTGGGCAGTAGTTTAATCAAGGGTGGCAATATCTATTGCGAAAGCTAAAATGTTTGTGACGCAATACCAGCCATTGGCAAAGTTGCAGCTGTTCAGGGGCTGAAATGAACCAAGTAAGGATCACCGAAACAGGAACTTTTAGATATTTTCAGTTCACTTTTTGAATAAAACAGTTACTAAGGACTCACTGGAGATCGTTATCGAAGACTACCTTCCCCCATTCATTTGATCATATAACCAACATATAACCGAGGTCATTGAACTAACATGTAACCGAGGTCATTAACTAACATCAAGATACCTAACTGAACTGTCTCGATAAGTCACTGATAATCTCACGCTCAATAGCATAACATTTGAAAAACGCTAGAAGTTACTGATGGCATCCAATCATTCAGTTACTTATTGAGACAGTTCAGTTAGATATCTTGATGTTAGTTGATAGCAGAAGTAATGCCATCAGTGACAATACGGTTGTCAAGATGTGAACTAGTTTCTATTCTGCTTAAAATAAAACTTGGAAAGAAAAAACACCCGCCTTGGTTCATCTAAGCATATGATCTCACTGAATACCCAAATTTTAATTTGTGCTGGATAAACTCCCAAGTGAAGGAATGGCTTTAACCCAGAGATCAAATAATCTAACTGGAGTATAGGATAATTTCTCTTGGGCTTCCTTCCTTCTCTTGGGCAGGGGGTGTCAATATTCCTATGCTGCATCGTCCTTGTCTGAAGACCGTCGTTCGTCGTTTGTTCGTCGCAGTCCAGAAAAGTCAAAAATTGGAAAACCTTCCCCCTGAAAAACAACTATAACAGGGCGTTTCAAAGCAATTAGATGCATTTGGTCTGGTAACATACAGGATAGCCAGCCACTGCCACAAAATATTTTCATTAAATTGTTCAATCGCGATTGTCAAGATGTAAACTAGTTTCTATTCTGATTAAAATAAAACTTGGAAAATCGATTAGATGAGATCAGTGCTGCTTTCGAAAGCGTCTCTTGTTGCATTCCTAGTTCTCTGTTCTTACTCGTAATGGTTATCAAGAGTTGGTTTCAATTGACGTCAAAATGAAAGCTTTCTTGAATGATTCAATACTTCTACTGATAATGATTATTAATGGTGGGTAGATGTTGCGAGATATGCTGAAAAGTTCATTTGTGAGGTTACTTCAAGATGTAGATAAGACCAATGGTAATACCCGAGCTCGTTGTTTCCATGGTCTTCCATTATGTATCGGTGAAAATTGATATTGCAGACAAATACAAATTCTAATACGGATCTGTTGCTACAAACAACGACTTTAATCTTTATAAAAGGTTTCCTTAAAGAGTGAACGTGCGTCTCGACTTCGAAGGCCATTTGAGGCAGTGACGGAAATCATCAATGCCTTCGAGGTCAAAGAGGCTTTAGTTTCAATATCTACTGGAAAATCACTCCCTTTATTCCTTTTTAAGAAATTCTGCCTTTTACTTGATGCGTGCTTATTCCGAACACAATTTAGCCGGGACTTTGCCTAATAAAAATTTTTAAAATACAATGACTATAGACAGTGGTTTAAGAGGCCTTGGCGTGGATGTTCAACACGAATTTGCACGCACAGAATGATCACGAATTGAGTGACGAGCATTCTTTTGGAAGATAACCTTTAAGCCAATGCACTGGGCATACCCCCGAAAATTATCCTGGTAATCTCACTCCATAACCCTTTACCTTCTTTTTCATATATAGGAGATAAACGTTAGTCATTGATAAGTTTCTCATTATCTCTCGCTCAATGGCACAAATTTTGAAAAACACTAGAAGCTACTTATAACGCCATGTTCAATAGCATAATATTCAATAATCGCTATAGGTTACTGATAATCCCATGTTGCTCAATAGCATAACATTTGAAAAACGCTTTAGATTACTGATAATCATATGTTCAATAGCAAAATATTCAATAATCGCTATAGGTTACTAAAAGTTCCATGTTCAATAGCAAAATATTCGATAATCGCTATAGGTTACTGAAAGTTCCATGTTCAATAGCAAAATATTCAATAATCGCTATAAATTACTAATAGTTCCACATTCAATAGCAAGATATTCAATAATCGCTATAGGTTACTAATAGTTCCATGTTCAATAGCAAAATATTCAATAATCGCTATAGGTTACTAATAGTTCCACGTTCAATAGCAAAATATTCAATAATCGCTATTGGTTACTAAAAGTTCCATGTTCAATAGCAAAATATTCGATAATCGCTATAAATTACGAATAGTTCCACGTTCAATAGCAAAATATTCAATAATCGTTATAAATTACTAATAGTTCCACATCCAATAGCAAGATATTCAATAATCGCTATAGGTTACTAATAGTTCCACGTTCAATAGCAAAATATTCAATAATCGCTATAAATTACTAATAGTTCCACATTCATTAGCAAGATATTCAATAATCGCTATAGGTTATTAATAGTTCCACGTTCAATAGCAAAATATTCGATAATCGCTATAAATTACTAATAGTTCCATGTTCAATAGCAAAATATTCGATAATCGCTATAGGTTACTAAAAGTTCCATGTTCAATAGCAAAATATTCGATAATCGCTATAAATTACTAATAGTTCCATGTTCAATAGCAAAATATTCGATAATCGCTATAAATTACTAATAGTTCCATGTTCAATAGCAAAATATTCGATAATCGCTATAAATTACTAATAGTTCCATGTTCAATAGCAAAATATTCGATAATCGCTATAGGTTACTAATAGTTCCATGTTCAATAGCAAAATATTCGATAATCGCTATAAATTACTAATAGTTCCATGTTCAATAGCAAAATATTCGATAATCGCTATAGGTTACTAACAGTTCCATGTTCAATAGCAAAATATTCGATAATCGCTATAAATTACTAATAGTTCCATGTTCAATAGCAAAATATTCGATAATCGCTATAAATTACTAATAGCTCCATGTTCAATAGCAAAATATTCGATAATCGCAATAAGATACTGGTAATCCCATGAGCAGTAGTGAAAAATTCGATAAATGATATAGAAAGGAAGAATATAGAGGCTAAGATGGCCGTAAAGAGAACAAGAGGGAGACAGAGATTGAAGATGTTAGACTGGTTCATGAAGATGTAGGGAAATAGAGATGAAAAACAACTAGGCGAGATTGCAAGAAATAGTTCTTCTAAGAAGATGGAAGGAGGACGTACCACCATGATCTGTCTGGGGAATCCGATGCCATGACACCAGAAGAAGAAAAACGGCCATAAGTCATTGATAATCCCATGTTCAATGAAATAACATTTGATTAACGCTACAAGTCACTGATAATCCATATTAAGCGAACACGTTTGACAAAAGCTATAAATTACTAACAATCCCATGTTTAATAGTAAACCATTCGATAAACGCTATTAGTCATTGATAATCCAATGTTCAATAGCATAGCATGTGAAAAACTCTGATAATCCATGCCTAATCGAATAATATTTGATAAAAGATAGACTCACTATTCAGAAAAAGCTGACAAATGCGCTGTCAGACAGTTAAGTGAACTAGCCAATACGCTGAAGGCGATTCCCACAGCGAGAAGAAATTATGTTACGTAAGACAGCTTTATTTTCACCATCCCTGAGCAGGGAATGAAATAAAAACAGAAAAGTTATCAGAAATTACACAAAGCAGAATGATATCGAGTTTAAAGAGAAATACAAAAAGGTACAGAGCTACAAAAATAATATTTATAAAACATCAGATCGTTATACCATGTATGCCTAAAAATTAAGCTAAATTAAGAAAACACAATCTTTTCTTTGCAATACATTTGACCATGGAAGTTTCTTCCTTTTGTTCTAAGAAGAAACAAACTGAAAATGTTTATTGTGGTACACTCTTGTTTTTCAATAAGAATACTATAAAGTTTTCCAAGCCTCGCTTTTTGTAAGAAATTGTTGCTTTCTTTCGAAAGAAAGAATAAATGTTCTTACATTTTCAAATCTGATAAGGTTTTAAAGGAACATCACCTGCTCTTGAATAAAAACCACGGTTTTTGTAAAACGAGATATTTCAGTCCTACGATATCCTTTTATGAACATCCCAAAACAGGCAACTGCTGAAAATGAACTGAGGCTGAGCAACATTCTTATAATATTCTTAAAAATTAAATGATTCGGAGCCTAAATATTTTTATAAACAGTCTTTCTATAAAAGAAAAAGTGTATATTCAAAGAACAAATAAGGGTTAGATGTTTGCCGAAAGTTTGTTAGTATTTCATTAAACTACTAAAGTATCTTTGTGTTGAAAGGGGATCTGACAAGTTATCTGCGTAAATTGCCCAGAAACACATAAAATATTCGTCGAATAGTTTTATCAAATACACTTCTTTTTCTTTATAAGAAAACTCTCTTGGCACATCCAGACTCGATTCGCACCAAATTTAGAACAGCGTAGAGCGTAAGAACAATGTGTTTC